AGACCGGCAGCGACCCGAGGGGAGGCGGGCGGGGGATGTGGGCGGAAGGAAGGGGAAGGGGCTGGTCGAGGAACAGGTATGAATGACCCACGGACGCGGACGGCAGGCTGGGGCTCGGCTGTGGGAGCGGGGGAGGGGCGGTGGGTGGAGGAGAGCAAAGGGGGGGAAATGGGGACAACGGCAAACTAGAATAAAATATTTATTAAAAAAAAAAAAAAAAGAAAGAAGGAGCAAGATGCAGGGAGAAGGACCCGGAACGAAGGAAGAGGGTGTGACGTCAGACATAGCTCCGCGCGGACGGCGCCCTGGCCCCCAGATTGCACCTGCACCCTGGGCGGGCCTGGGACGCTGACCGTGAGCCCGGAACCGCCCGATGCAAGGGGGTGGGCCTGCCCCAAGTAACATGAACTTGTTAGAAAACTAATATTTTCCTTTAACAGTAGGAGTGGAGGAAGCAAGGGGGAAGTTATGGAAAGCAAAGAACTCGCCCCCCCCCACCCTCCCCCTGGGATTCCCTCCCCTTGTGAACACCCCACCCGAGTTATAGCCCCTTATGATGAGCCAGTAATCTAGTAAGTACACTGTTTTTCTGCGGCCTGTGAGCCATCCTAACAAACCGTTGAACCTGGAGAATCGGTCAGTGTGGGCGCCAGCCCCACCCCCAGTCTGGTGTCAGAAGAGCTGAGGGCAGAGGAGAGAAACAGTTTTCCCTTCCACCTGTGACTTGCCTTCCCGGGACACAGGCGGGGCTGACATGGAGCAGCTGTGGGCCTGGGGGGTGGGGGCGGAGGGAGGAGAAGGTGACTCCCCAAGAGGCCCAGCCCCCCACGCTGCTCACTGCTACCCCGCCCCTGCCAACACACACACTGCCAGGCCGGTAACTGCCAAAACACATCTCCACCAATTTAGTGGCTTCAAACAAGGCACGTTCATTGCCTCACAGTTCTGTAGGTCGGGGGCCCGGCAGCCTGTCTGGTTGCACTGCTATGGGTCCCACGAGTCCAGCTGGAAGCTCTGGGTTTCCAGGCTGTTGGAGGAGTCAGTTCCGTGAGATTGCAGGGCCAAGGTCCCCGTTCTGGGGACAGCTGTCTGCCGGGGTCCCTCTCAGCTCCCAGAGGCCGCCCGCATCCCCTGGCTCACGGTTCCGCTTCCGCCTGGCCGGCAGCCGCTGGACCTCTCCGATTGCAGGTGCAGAAAGGGCCGCTGTGATTAGATTGGGTCCACCTGAAAAATCCAGGGTACTCTCCCCTCTCGAGACCCTTAATCACACCTGGGAAGTCCCTTTTGCCACATAAGGTGACACAGGCGCAGGTTGCAGGCTCAGGGCGCGGACGTCCTTGAAGGGGCTGCTGTTCTGCCTGACCCACCCCTTCGTGCTTCCCCAGGCCTCCTGTGGCTTTGGCGGCGTTGCCTCTCCCACCGTCAGAGCTCACGGTGGTCACCTGCTGGCTCTCGTTCTCCCGTGATCCTGGCCATCACCATGGCCAACCCTCAGGGAAGGATCTCTTTTCCAGAACTACCTCCCGCTCCCAACAACTGAGCCTTTCCCCTTCTCCCGGGGATGGCCTCCCGCTCCATCAGTGAAGCCTTGGTCCTCAGAACGTAAGAAGCCATCCTGGCGAGTCCCAGTCTCGCCCCGCAGCGAGGGGACCGTACCGCTCTGAGGTGCTCCATCCAGGGCGAGCATGCAGGGTGCCGCTGGCCCTCTCGGTTGGGCTGGGTCACTAGGACCCCCGAGTCTGGCCTCTCCTTCGCTCCAGGCCCCCGGCCCCTCTGGGTGGAGGCAGGCCAGCACCCACAGGGAGAGCTTTCTCCTCCTTCCCCTGCTCTGGCGCTCACCTCGGGCACCGATGCCAAGAACTAGAACTGAAGTGACAGCATTTCGTCTGCTCAGATGTGACCAGCCTCAGCAGGAGGAGTCTCGGGTCGGAGCCGCCGCGGCTGCACAGCAAACAGGCTCCAGAAAGACCACAGATTCTCCCCATCGGTGGTCTCGTCCGTGTTCTGTCCACCACACTCCCCCCAAACTCCCCTGGGCCGCTGGCCACCAGCCACCTGTGGCCCTGCTTCTAGTCATCACTGACTTGCTTTGCTGTAAGCAGGGGTGCTTGTTGCCAGGGTAACCGGGAGGGGACTATGGGCCTGGGTTCGTGACTGGTAACCCCTTAACCGGATTCTTGCTCGGTTCTTGGTTCACTTGCCCTTGTGGCTGTAAGAGAGCCCACCCGTCCCCGTTCCTGCCCTCCAGTCTCCTGGTTTTGCTGTTCTCCTTCTCTGCAGGCTGCCTGGGCTACACATTTTCTCTGGAACCTTTGTTTTTTATCCGCCCCGTTCCCCCTTTCCTTTCGATGTGGCAGAGACACCTAGTGAACGGTGCCGCCGTGTCCGGCTGTCCCTCCGTGTTCGCTGTGATGGGATGGTCGACCTGGCGGGTGCCTGCCGGCCCCCCTTCGATGGCAGAGTTCCCCACCTGCATTTCATCGAATGGTCGCATGCATCGGTGATCTCTGCCTAAATCATTTATTTCGTCAGCAGTGGCCCAACGGTGGTTTCTAATCTGTCGCCCTTTCCACCGATATTAAGTAGCATTTTCCCATTAAAAGTTGTTTTCCCGCCCTGGTGGGCGTAGCTCAGTGGATTGAGCTCGGGCTGTGAACCAAAGTATCGCAGGTTCGATTCCCAGTCAGGGCACATGCCTGGCTTGCAGGCCATGGTCCCCAGCAACTGCACATTGATGTCTCTCTCTCTCTCTCCCCCTCTCTCTTTCTCTCTCCCTTCCCTCTCTAAAAATAAATAAATAAAATCTTTAAAAAAAAGTTGTTTTCCCTCTGGGTTCCAGCTGTCTGTTTTCCCTGAAACACGGTCTGGACAAGAAAGGCTAGGGCCGATGGTTTCCTGCGCATTGCTGTGAGTTGCCAATTGTTTGAAGAAAGGGTTGGTGCCCTGGTCCCCTCCAGCGACGGCCAGTGACTGCATGATTCTGGGTCACCGTGAAGTCTTCCCCCTCTTTGCTCTTAAGGAACTTAAATACGTGCTGAGTGCTGAGAAAACATGGGTAAAAAAAAAAAAACACCGAATGGTCCCTTCCTGCCTTGGGGGTGCCTTGAGATGTTCGATGTATTTGTACTGGCCTTGGTCCACCACACACGTGTCACTGTGCACGCGGCTGTGACCTGCCCTTCCTTTTGGTTTGAGGTTAACCAGGTGTATCCCAGTTCCTTCCTCTGGGCACCCTCAGGCCCTGTGAGGAAGGGACAGTGTCTCGTGCTTTTCTCTCTACGTACCGAGGGCAAGTTTGGGCGTCCAGAAGGGTTTGGTACCGAGGTGTAGGCCGAGCAGATGTCAACTTGAGGGGCCACTCTTTCAGTCTTTAACCCCAAGTCATAGCTGTTTTCTTTGTTCTTCTTCTAGACGGGAGTCGGGGTAGGTTCCGACAGCACCTCACTGACACCAGCTGGGTGTTTTACAATGTCATCCAACCTGACCCCCCCCCCGGAGTGAGTGCAGACCCCACAGTGAAAGGGCAAGGTCCCAACAAGACTGTCCCCACTTCGGGTGCCAGCTGCAAGCCGGGTCCCCAGACTACTTGTACTTCTAACTGGGCTACAAAGTCAAGTTCAGTAAGTCCCTAGAAGGACTCATAGAACCCAGGCAGGAAAGCATTACACCTGCAATTGCCACCTGGTTGTACAGGACCCAGGTGAACAGCCAGGTGACGCGGTAGGTACACGGGGCGGCAAGGTCTGGAAGAGCCTCGAGCACAGGAGCTCCCATCCCCACGGAGTCGGGAGGAGCCATCCTGACAACACGTTGATGTCTTTGCCAGCCCGGAGGCTCCCGCGCCTGGATGTCCTGAGCTGTTAGTGGGTTCAGTACAGAGGCACGACCGATTCCATCCTTGGCCACAGGCTTGAGCCCAGTCTCCAGACCCCTCTCTGCTCGGGAGTCCAACCGGCTAATCACATGCTTGGCATTTCTGGCTTGGTCGTTCTGGCACGGCCAGCCCCTCCCTTGAACTCTAGGAGCCCGTACCTCATTAGCATGAACTCATGGGTGGTTGGCCAGGGCTTGTTAGGAATACAAAAGACACTCCTCCGATGAGGGAATTCCAAGGGTTCTTGAAGCTCTAGGCCAGGAAGCAGGGATAGAGAGCATAAAAAAAAGACACACATATTCTTGTTTTAAAGATTTTTTATTTTATTTTTAGAGAGAGGGGAAGGGAGGGAGAAAGAGAGGGAAAGAAGGATCAATGTGTGGTTGCCTGTTGCGTGCCCCCCTCCCCCACCCAGGGACCTGGCCCGCAACCCAAGCATGTGCCCTGACTAGGAATCGAGCTGGTGACCCTTTGGTTTGCAGGCCAGTGCTCAATCCATGGAGCCACACCAGCCAGGGCTCTTTTTTCTTTTTTTAACATTTTATTTATTTTTTAGAGAGAGGAGGAGGGAGGGGGGAAGAGAAGGAAACATCAGTGTGTGGTTGCTTCTCACGCACCCCTTACTGGGGATCTGGCCCCCTTAAGGATCTTTGAAGGTGAAGCCAGAGGGTAAAGCATTTGGATTTGGCAAGAGGATGCTCGCGGATGGGGGGACAGGAATAGGCTCAGAAGGAGAAGACAACCGAGACACACATATTCCAACAGTTACCATCCAAGCCTTCGGAGAGTCTGAAGGTCTTAAACGAGGCTAAGTTACTGCTGGCTAAGGAAACCTTCCACTCAATGGGGATAGAGAGGGTTTTGTGTGGTGGGGAGGTGGGCGAGGTGGAGGGTCGTGAAGACAAGATCACTGAATTATGGGACCAAGGGGCAGGTAAAGGGCTTCGCTTTCAGAATACGGAGCGAATCCTCTTCTGAAACTCAGAGGGAAAGGAAGGAGCTAATTGAAAAACTACGGAGGAGAGCAAATATATTTTTTAAAGATTTTATTTATTTATTTTCAGAGAGGGAAGGGAGGGAGAAGGAGAGAGAGAGAAACACCACTGTGTGGTTGCTGGGGGCCGTGGCCTACAACCCAGGCATGTGCCCTGACTGGGAATCAAACCTGTGATGCTTTGGTTCGCAGCCCACACTCAATCCACTGAGCTACGCCAGCCAGGGCTTGAGAGCAAATATTTGTAACGAGGGTCTCTCGGGGAGTTGGCGGGACTGTATGAGAAGGTCGTGGCGGTCTCAACCTGAAGAGGGTTCAGAGACTCGAGGGAAGGAGCTGTGGGCAGGAATCGGTCTGGGATACACTTCCACACAGCGAGCAGGTTCTTCAAAAGCAACTGCCAGGCGACCTCTAGAAGGCTCTAGCATTTTCAGGGTAGGATGCCATGAATTCTCAATGAGAACATCTCATTGACAATAGGGTGTATGTTGACCCCGCAGCTTCCTGGTGTCTGCATTGGCTAGAAAGAAAGAAAGAAAGAAACACGTAAGAATAATACGCGTCCTAAGCAGTTAAAACCATTGGTTAGAAGTCAGGGGGAGAGAAAAGAAGGAAGTGTACCTGAGAGGGTAACTATTCCCTGGGATAGTTTGGGGGTACTTGTTGATAACGCAGACAACCTTGACGACCCAAGCCAGCCCTGGCGTGGGGCAGGGTTCCCTGTAGAGCAGGCAGTTTTGCCCCCCGTGGGACATGAAGCAGTGTCTTGAGACATGTAATGGTCACAAGCGGGCGGACCGAGTGGGCAGAGACTTGGGATGCTGCTCAGCACCCTGTCGTGCACGGGGCAGCCCCTGCACCCGAGCGTCAGCCAGCCGCCGGGCCCCAGATGTCCCCGGCACCGAGGCTGAGAAGCCCCGCTTTGAAAGCACCTTGAGAAAGAGCCTGGTGGGAGAACGGAGTGCACCTGGTGGCAGCTATCTCGGGAGGAGGGGCGCTTTGGGCAGGTGCGAAAGGCTCCGTCGGGTTGCGGAGCCTGCCCACCTCTGGGAGCCACTTTCAAGTCACAGGTGGCCCCGTGACAGTTCTGGGCAAGGAGACGCAAGAGAATCTGCTGGATGAGGCTTCTGGTAAGATGCTCTTGGGCAGGCATCTCTCCCTTTCTGTTCTTCCTGTCTAGACTGTGAACGTGGTGCCTCCTGGAGGTGCAGCGGCAGTGTCTGGAGACACTGTCACACAGCGGGGAGACGTGTACCGATATGTACAGGGTACAGACCGGTGCCCCACGCTGCCCAGGACAGCCGCCAGCACAAAGAACCATCCAGCCCTTCAGTGGGGAAACGGCCCATGCAGAAGGCACACTGGGGCTGTTGGAGAGGCTTGGACTGCCTGCCTGAAGATTTCTTGTAACGGGAAGGAAATAAAAAAACCCCATTTGCTTAAGCTCCGGAGTTGGGCTAGCTGTCCCTTGGGGCTGAATAAATTCCAGCCGCGGCAGTCTGCAGGGGCAGCAGCTCTTTGATCTAAGCCGGTCACAGGGGCACCTCCGGACAAGGCTCCCTTTCGGTGGTTCTTACCGGCACCTTCCACAGCGGCACGGGAGCCCCAGTCCCGTCTTTGAAACACAGAGAGGAGGACAGCCACTCGTCAGCTTCTTGTGCTAGAAGATGCCAGCACCAACGGTTCCCTCCGCCCACGTCGCCAGTAGGATCGGCTGGGTCCAAGATCACAGGCCTGGGGAAGGGGGGGTGGGGGGGCATTAGAGGCCTGCTGCCTAGGACCAGGGGTCTCAGCGTGGGGGGGCCCTGCTCTCCTCTCGGCACTAAAACGGCGTTTGCTTATCTCTCAGGTGTCAGGAATTCAAAGGGACCGATTCTGTGCCAAGTAATTTCCTAGAATTCAATCGACGTCTGTCAAAAACGCTTTGAAAGGTGATGACGATTGCAGACTGAAGACATCCCGCGAACGTCCTCTCCACGCCAGGCTAACCGGGCCACGGCGTCCAGCCGAACCGAGTGCGTGATGCTGCTGACTGGGCGGCACCCACGGGAGGCAGCCCGCGCCCCTTGCTCGCTCTCTCTCCTCCTCTGCGCTCTCTCAGTGCTCCTCGCTCCCCCCCCCCCTTCCTTTTGTTTTTCCTCTGTTGTTTCTCTGTCCCTTGCTGGCGGCTCTGGGCAGACAGCTAGGGTTCCTTCTAACCCTCGAAGGATAAAGGTGTTACGGGCTGCAGGTCAGACAGGGCAGACAGAACCTGACTTCATCAAAAGCCTGTGTGCTGGACACATCGGTGGCATCGTCATGAGTGCCACCACAGGGGTGACATCGTTGCTTCTCAGGGACACGCTTGCAACACTCCTCAGACCTGCTAAGGAGTCCACACGTCTCCTTCTGATCTAGGGGGAGGAAGGCCACGCAGAGACCTGGAGCCTTGTCCTTGTTTCTCTGTCCCTTCCGGATGACATCTCCTCCCACCTCCCTGGGGCTTTGTCCCTGGAGACTGTGGGAGGTTCTGGCGGCCAGCACCCCACCCCACACACCCCCCCTACTTCCCAGGGGGGGCACCCACGTGGCTGAGACAGTGGTGGAGGGACTCGGGTTAAGAAAAGGCGGGGGCGGGGAGTGCAGCTCAGGGCACCTGGTGTTCCGGATCTGGGTCAGCAGGAGGTCCTTCACGACCTCGTTCTCAAAGTTGTAATTGACCGTCCAGAAGACGCAGAGCTGCTGATACCGCGTGACCAACTCCAGGACCGTCTGGAAACCCTCGGCCGTGTCGAAATCCAGCGCCCCACTGCCGTGCTCCCAGGCGTAGATGGTGAGCAGCTCCAGGGCGTACTTCGGGGGCAGAGACCCCTTTCCTTTCAGTTTCCTTGCACACTGCAGGGAGAGGGGCATCGACAGATGACGCTGGTCAAGGCAGGGGGCGCACTGTGCGTTAAGGACTCCTGGAGTCACCGCAGGGCCACTGAGTCCACGTGGGCAGGGCTGCTCTGGGAGGCCTGGGCAGTGCGGGGTTGCGGGTGGTCACTTAGCGTCCCGTAGGCAGCCACGCAGGTTTCTTAGCGGTGCTCTGGCCACTGATGACTTCTTAGAGCCACCCTCTGGCTAGCCCTTACTAACAACCCACTGCGTGCCAGTGATGGGGCCAGGCCTGTGACCCCCATCCTAGCCTTCCCAACCACCCTACGAGGCAGGCTTCATGGTGGCCATTTCTGATGAAGCTACGAGGCTTGGGGGAGTGACGCGACCTGCTCGGGGTCGCCCCGCAGCCCCGAGCCCTCGGAGCACCCTGGGGCTGGGTGTGGGGAGATTTCGCTGATGTTCTGGGACGGGAATCACGGAGCTCAGTCTTCACCTCAGCCTGCAGGGGGGCCGGGCACAGACAGGAGACGCGTCAGGCAAGAGCTGACATCGTGTTGGGTGTCTGTGGCTGTGAAGACACTCAGAAACTACCCTGCGTGCAAGACAGGATAGAAGTGAAGGCGGGCTAAACAGTCTTCTGGAAAATGCAGCCCCCCGGTGCCACCTGCAGCCGCAACCTGCCTTCCAGGAGATTAGCACCGGTGTCTGGGTGCCCAGCGGCAGGAGAGGCAGGCAGGCTGGCGACTTGCAGGCAAGCAAAGCCCAATGTCACCGGCCCTTGGCAGGCTGGGTCACTTAGATTTCTGCAGGATTCCCTGGGTGTCCCAGAAAGGGCAAAAGTAAACACCAGCTGGCAGCTTTGATGGTAGGAGGCGCTCTACACCCGGCACGACTTAACGGGGTTAACATCCTCCACAAAGATCCTCAGGGTGGAGACAGGACGGATTCCCTGAGGGCAGCCCAGCCCCCAGCGCAGGAGAATGCGGGCGCCCGCCCGGAGCTCTCGGCCAGTGCTGGTTGCCCATACCAGTACGTACCTGTTTGTACCAGTGCTTCATCAGGCGGATTAAGTCCTTCAGCTTGGTGGGCTTGGAGACAACGAAGTTACGCTGCAGCTCCGTGAAACAGGTCGAAAATTCTCCCCCGATGTTGGAGCTTTTATACACAGAGATGAGCTCAGTGTAGACCCTGGGGGGTGGTCTAAAGCCAGCTTGCACTTGACCTAGCATGGGGGAGATATATTTACCTTATGCCTTCATGTGTACAGAAAATAACAGCTTTCAAAACATTTTTGACAAATGTAATGTAATTCTGAGAAATTCCGTTGAATTCTATTAGTGTATGTCTAAGATATTGGGGGCATCTCTGGAATAACGATACCCTGAAACACAGGATATGGTCTATATGAGTACCAGTGGTGTTATTAAAATGTTATCTGGTTTTGCACTGTCCAGTGTGGTCTCTGCCAGCCAATGGGGCTATTTGCAATCAAGTTCATGAAAGGGAAATCAAATTAAACACTTAATTTGTCAGTCGCACTAGCCACATCTCAAGCTCTCACTAGACCCGGAGCAGAGGTATAGAATATTCCTACATCACAGACAGACCCTTTGGACAATGCTTGAACAGGAGTTTGCTAACTATGGCCCGTGGGCTAAATGTGGCCCACTACTTGTTGTTGTAAATAAAGTTTTATTAAAATTGTCATCCCACGTGCCAATGTATCATCTATGTATGGCTGCTTTCAGGCTACCGCGGGAAAGTTGTGCAGTTGTGACAGACTATCCGTCCGGTTCTCAGAGCTGAAGAGATTTGCTAGCTTGCTTCCAAAACGTCAGCCAACCCCTAATCTACAGCGTCATTTTCTCTTGGAGAGACAGCCACCAGGAGCCCTTGGGAGGGCAGGCGCTGGGGTCTTTGGGATCTGGGTTTGGAAAACGCCTGAAACAGCCTCGGTTTCTTTCAGCCCCCCTTCATGCTTCTGTCGCCGATCACTGGAATCCGTAAGGGACACTTTTGCCTAAGGCTGAGGTTGGACGCCCCGATTTCTTGTCTCTGTTTCAGAAGCCCCTCCCACAGCCTGTCCTTTCCTTTCCTTCCCTGACCCTGGGGGCCTTGTTTCTGTAAATGTGTACGGGGCTCCTGTGTGCCCCATTCTTAGACAGGTGGTGTGGACCACACTACGTGAGAGTGAGCTGGGAGTCCCAGACGTCTGGGGACACCTGAGGGTCAGGTGCAGGACACAGGTGTCAGGTGCAGTGAGTGTCCCCTTATTCATGGGGGACACGCTCTGAGATAGCATATACACTGTGTGTGTTCCTGTACACGCAGACTCTGCCTCTCCCTGGTGTGTCTGAATTCTCAGCATCACTGCTCTTGCGCTTTTTTTACTCTTGCTGAGTAAAATAAAACAAGGGTGGCTTGAACACAAGCACTGTGACACCACGGCGGTCAGTCTGAGGACCCAGGTGGCTACCAGGTGACCAGCGGGTGAGGAGTGGACACTGGACACGTCGTATAGACGCTGGACAGAGGGAGGAGGCACAGCCTGGGCCGGACGCAGCAAGGCTTCTTCACGCTATTCAGAACCTGATGCAATTTAAAACGTATGCGTTACTTATTTCTGGAATCTTCCATTTCATTTTTTCCGACCACAGCTGATCACAGGTAACTGAAACCCCGGGAAAGCAAAACCCTGGGTTAAGGCCGGAGGCTACTGTATTGCTGCTATTCTTAATGCCACCTGCTGGGGGCTCTGGACCCACGACCGATTGTTAAGTCGCGTGGCTTTTCCTCCACCTCCTCTGGCCACTGTCCTTATTCGTCCTCCTCCCGGATCTAAGGCATGGGGAGTCTCACCTAGCGCGTCGTATGCCGGCAGCACGTTGAAGTCAACGCCGTCGCTGAGTTCTTTGGATTTGAGGGAGAAGCTCAGCACCCTGCGGGCATTCCATTTTGAAACCTCAAACTTCACTTGGAACTTCTGCCGGCGGGCTTCTCGCCGCTGAAAGGCTTTCAGCTCTTTTCGGATTTCCTTGACCACGTTGCTTCTCTCGTTTTTTTGGGAGGCGTAGCTCCGCAGCGAGTTGATGAACAGGACGATGTCCGCGTCGGAGCCCGTCTTCAGAGCCGTGCCTTTGCTGGTCGACCCCCCCTAGCGAGCAGAGGCAAGCTGCGTCAGGTCCCCTGGGCCGCTTAGGGCCCCGCCCCCCGGGGGCGGCTTAGGGCCCCGCCCCCCAGGGGCCCCTGTTGGTTGGACTAATGAACGAGGTTGCCCACTCCTCCCCCTTGTAGATTCCAAGCTGCGGTCCAGGGAGGGCTGAGTCCAAAGCAGACCTTTTCATTTTTCCCACGAACAGACTCATAGGGTTCCAAAGACGGTCATTCTCACACCCTTTGAGTCAGCTTCCTAAAGATGGCTCCTAATGCAGATTTCACTTTGGATTATTGGGGGTTTTTTTGCATTTTCTTAAAAAGTTTTTTTTATTTTTGTTCAATTACAGTTGTCCCCATCTCCCCCCCCCCCCACCACTACTCTCCCCTGTCATTTTGAATAGAAGGACGAGTAACAACCCATACCCACGGCCTTGGGGCCGTGGATGGGAACGATCCAATCCATGGAACCTCTAGCTCAGTGGGTGGGAGGGATCAGGCTCCCGTCACCGGAACAAGAGCGAGGTCACTCTTTGGTTCCGTGTACACCGGGCTTGGCATCTGCAGTGGTTTGGACGGTGGCGCCCCAAAGGTACGTCCTCTGGGAAAGCGTGCATGTGATCTTATTTGGAAGAAGGGTCTTTGTAGATGTAATTAAATTAGAGTTCTGTGGGCCCTAAGTCCAATGACAGAGAAGAGAAAGGGAGGAGACACAGAGAGGGGGTGCTGGGAAGATGGAGGCAGAGAGATCAGAGGGGTACAGCTACAAGCCAAGGACCGCCAGCAGCTGGGGATGCTGCCAGAATCAAAACTGTGTGGCGGACCACCTCTGCCATCCATCAGCACCACCTCCACCCCGAAAATCAGTATCCTCGTCACCCACTGCCCCGGCTGCCTCTCCTCCTCCACCGCCCTTCAGCCTCTGCTGCGGGACGAGCGTTTCAGAGCCCCAGAAAACCGCTCCGCATCCCGCCAGCAACGCCTTTCAAGAGAAAGGCCGGGCTCACCTTGACACACTTCTGAACCTTGGTAGTTGAATGCCGAAAGCATTGTTCCTTGAAGAATGTACAGATGATGTCAACGGCACTGTTCACCTGCTCTAGGAAAGTCTGGTTGGGCTGCAGAAAGCTCTTGATGAACGCATCCAGACGGTGGCCCGGGGTCTCGTGAAGCGGTGTTGGCTGGGGGAGATGGAAGAACCCCAATGCGAGTAAGACTGCTGCAGCCTGGGTGTGGGGAAGCCCCGCCCACCCCCCATCCGCGGCCACAACCCCTGCAGCAGGACACAAGCCGTGTTTGGAAATCCCTCTTACCAGAACATTCCAAGATGGTCCGGGTGACTCTTTCAGGCTGGGAGAAGACAGCCAGAGTTGAGCTTCTTCTTTCAGCAGCTGCCAGCACGTCTTGTCTTTGGCCACGTTATTGGTCGGGTCGGTTGGATCCAAGATTACTGGCCTGTGAATTCCATTAGATTAAAAAAAAAATCCCTTGGGCTGCCTAGGGGAGGAGAAATTAGTTTGGGAGAACTGGGCTTCTGGTAGCCTGCATTTTGACTCCTGTAGTTTCTCTCAATTGCTAAGGTGTGTGTCCTGCCTCTCTGATCCTGTGCTCTCTGCCTGACAGAGATGCCCCATTAATAACGTAATCAAAGCGTCTCTTCCTGCTGACCTTTCTTCTCTCTTAGCCTCTTCTAGAAAGGGACGTGCCCCTCCCTCATGTGTTTGCTCTGGGCATAAGAACTGACGATGGTTCGGAACATGAAAAGCACCGGTCAGGCTTCTTTCCCTCCGATAGACCTCTCTTTGCCTTTCTACCCCACGCTGCTGGCGTTCTCCGGGTGCGTCGCGGGCTGAGAAGGGCGGGGCCGGGCTCTCCTGCTGACGGGGAACGGTCTGGCACGCAGGACTAAGGGGCAAAGTGGGGGGACCAGGGAAACCTGGTACCTTGGGGATCGGATCTGCCTCAGGATGACGTTGCGGACGGTCACATCCTCGAAGCTGTAGTTGACCGTCCAGTAGACACACAGCTCCTCTGGCCGCTTGATTAGCTCCAGGACCGTTCTGACGCCTCCGACGAGATCGAACTGTTTTGCCCCGCACCCCTGCTCCCAGGCGTAGACTGCGAGCAGCTCCAGAGCATACCAGGACAGCAGGGGTGCGTCCCTCAGCTTTTCCTGGCACTGTGGGGGGGGGGGAAGGGGCAGCGGCTCACTTGGGGACCCGGTTCTTCCCACGTCAGGGGTCCGGACTCAAGACGCCAGATGTCTAGAAGAAGTCCCTGTCCCCAACCAGGGACCACAGTGACACCGTGGCTAAAAGTCAACAGACCGACCATATCAAGTGAGGACAAGGCTGTGGAGCTCCTGGAAGTGTCACACGTTGCCGACCGAAGCGTGACTGGGGACAAGTGCAGATGCGGCTCAGATGACCCGATAAACCCACTGCGGGTTGAGAACATCACCAGTGAAAATGCATCTGATACAGTGAACCCGCCGAATCGCGGAGCTTAGCCCAGCCCTCCTTACAGGTGCTCGGAGTGCTTAGGGTGGGGCAATGACCTTGACCTTCATCTCCAGAGTCATCGTCTTCCTTTCCTTCTCACCGGAAGGGGGGAGACAGATGGGGGTGTGCAGACAGGAAGACAGGATAGGGTGTGAAAACACAAAGCGCGCTATCCAAAAAAAAAAAAAAAATGAGCAGCCGCACAGCATGCTGCGGAGTACGGGCTGTTTGCCCCGGGGACCCGGAGCCGGCCTGGGAGCGCAGGCTCTCTGCCGCTGCCCAGCACCGCAAGGGGGCACGTGCCGCCTGTTCCCAGACCAGGACAAGATCAAAGTTCGAAATACGGTGTCTGTGGAATGCCTGTCACCTTCTCACCATCGTAGTGAAAAAATCTTACATCAGACCTTCATAAGCCAGGGCCCATCTCTATGTGGCAGTGTTTCCTAACGTTAAGTATGTACGCAATCCTCACTGTGTACGCATACGTGCATACCTATGTGTGCCGTGTGCACGTGTATGTTTTCATACACATGTGTGTTTTCATATGCATATACCTTATATATAACCCAGCAGTTCCAGGCCTGGGTCCACCCAAGAGAAAGGAGAACTTCCGTCCACAAAGACACACCTGGGGCGATGTCCGTGGTCACCTAATCCACAATAGCCCCAATATGGAAACGCCCCAGATGTCCCTCTGCAGTAGCAGGGGTCGCTGGGTGGTGTGGGCCTGCCGTGGACCAGCACAAAACCATGGAAAATGACAACCACGCGCACGGGCACGGACATGCCTCTCGGGCATGGCGTTGAACGGAAGACGGCAGACGCCAAGAGCGGACAGTACGGCCCTGTTTCTATCCGGTGAAATCCGGTGGGAAACAAGCCAAATGAATCCGTAGTGGCAGCTGTCGGGAGCGCAGGCCGTTTGGGGGAGTATTCGCCGGGAGTGGGCTTGAGGCAGGCTCCCCGGGGGGCAGAAAACCTGCCCTGTTTTGACCTGGATGTGGCTTAAAAAACACATAAAGATGCGTCGCACTGCATCTGGGAGACTGTGGTACTGTGCCCGATTGCTAGTTGATCTGGAACCAGGGGAAATGGGTGACAGGCAGCAATGTACAATTTGACACTCACCTGTTGATACCAGGCCTTTACCAAGAGGATCAAATCCTTCAGCTTCCTGGGACGGTAGTTAAAGAAATTCTGCTGGAGTTTTGTGAAGCAGACGGAGAACTCGCCGGGCCTGGCTTGGGTCATATCCAGGGCTCCTTTGAGGTCTCGGTAGGTCCAGAGGCTGGGCTTGTCGCTTAAGGCTGGCATGGAAGAGAAGGAGGACTTCCCGTTATCACGGGAGCAATCGCCCACCTCGCAGGTCGGGTGTGGACGGAGGGTCACACTTTGTCTCCTGAGCTCGACTCCAGCCCTTGCGTAAGGCAGGCACGTACTCCCGACGCTCACCGCCCTGCGGGGCCCGAGCATGAGCTGCTTCTAGCCTGACCTTACAGTTGGCACCACTGGGGCAGGGGTAGGAGCAGGATAAAAACTCAGGGCTGCCCGCCTTCCAAACTGGTCGTCTGTCGGTGAACGTGAGCCATCAAAGTGTGTGTGTGTGTGCACGTGTGCGTGCGTGTCCACCTTAAAGGCACCTTGGCCTGGGGCTTAGAAGACCTGCGCTTGTATTCTAGTTCTGTAAGTAACTGGCTGTGTGGCCCTGGGAACATTCCTTTTCCTCGGTTTCCCAGTTTGCGTCACGAGGGGTCGAATTTGAGCTCTGGCATTTAAGTTTGTGATTGTGTATTGTATGTGTATGTACCTGAGCTCGATCCTAAGCTTTAACTATGCTGAGTCTTTTCCTTCCTTCCATCCATCCATCCATCCATCCATCCAATTACTGATCCACCCACCCATTCAATCATTTGTCCATCTGTCACGCATCCATCCATCTGTCCATGCAGCCAGTCACCCATGGAAGTCCTCGCCTTGACACTGGCCTGCTCAGAAGGCAGACGCCCGATGCCTGCCCCCGCTGCACGTTTCCCGAACGCTTGCCCCACCCTCCCTCCCTAACCAAACTCATTCTAGTCTGAGTTCTCAGGCGGGCAGCAGCACTGTGGAGATGGTCCGACGTACAGAATCCCGGGCCCTACACCTGGTTTCCCGAACCAGAGCCTGCCTCTTCATAAGGTTCCCGGGTGACCTGTGTGCGATTTGTCATGATTTGAGAAGCTCTGCTCGAGAGTCTAGAACATTTTTTCCGAAGTCGATGAGGAGGTGGGGGAGGAGCCCTAGAGAAGAGACGACTTCTCCTGAAGGCCTACGGCCCCCCACTTTGCAAATCACCAGAGCTCTCTATCCACCACCCCTTTCTCTGACTTTGCTCTCTCAACACATCCCTGGACACCCATTCTCCTCCCCCACCCACGCACCCAGGGCTCACCCACAGCATCGAAGGCAGGCAGCACGTCCAAAGTGACGCTCTGCCTTTCTGTGGACAGCTGGATGGTGAGCCCCCCATAGGACCCCTTGATCTCCATCTTCGCCTCTAGCTGCATCTCGAGCTGGAAGTCTTTCAGCCGCTTGAAGATTTTGTTGAGGATTTCATGTTGGTTTTTCCTCTTCAGATCCTGGAACTGTCCCAGGTCACTGACGAAGACGACAAGGGTGCCGTGGGAGTTGCCCCTTAAGATTGTTTTTCGGCCATAGGAGCCACCCTGCCAGTGACAGAGAAGCAGGTGTGAGACTCCGGAGTCTCACACTTTGGGGGCTCATGGGGCTCCCCAGGGGGCAGTAGTATTTCTGAACTTGAGCAAAAGCCCAGAAGGTCACCATACTCTTAAAGTTGAATGGCAGGTGACCATTTGTCCACCCAGAGGCCAGGCCACCTGTAGCAGTACCTTCAGACCAGCCCCACGCTGGAGGAGGAAACGCAAGTGGCCGTCAACACCCGGATGACAAAGGTGGTGTATCCAACCCAGTGGAATAGGCTACACCAGGAAATGACACACAAGACCCGCCCGCAACCACAGACCTTTCGTCCACAGGGCGGGTCAGAGAAACCACACACTAAAGCCACGCAGCACGTGGGTTCCTTTGCACAGGGCGACCCCGGCCTTGGCGCTGCACGGCCCGTTTCCCAGCAAACCCCTCGGCCCCAGGCAAACCGGGTGGCTGCTCACCTTCCATGTATATGGAGTTTAAAAACTGGCAAAACGAACCTCTGCTGTCAGAAGTCGGGAGAGTGGCCACCTGGGGTCGGGGGGAGCAGCAGGCAGGGAGCCCCAGGGTGCCGAGGAGCCGGGGGTGTTTTGCTTCTTCATTTGGGTGTAGGTTACACACGCACCTTGTTTGTGGCAATCCAAACAGACTGCACACTTAGTTCTGTGCCCTTTTCCTTTTGTATTTTTTTTATTTCTAAAGATTTTATTTATTTATTTTTAGAGAGAGGGGAAGGGAGGAAGGGAAGGGAGGGAGGAAGAGAAGGAGAGAAACATCAATGTGTGGTTGTCTCTCGTGCACCCCCTACTGGGGACCTGGCCTGCAACCTGGGCATGTGCCCCGACTGGGAATCGAACTGGCGACCCTTTGGTTCACTGGCTGGCGCTCAATCCACTGAGCCACACCAGCCAGGGCCTGTATTTTATTTTAATTAGGAAAAAAAGTAACATTGAGAGGCAGGATGGTATGTGGTTAAGAGTGCACGCTCCTGCCTGATTCCCAACTCTGATGCCGGCTATTGAATAACCTTCTTGTGCCTCAGTTTCCTCATCTGGACCAAAGCCAGAGACACCAAGTCTCCGAGTGTCTTCCCTGCTGGGGCTAGTGGGTGTGTGCAGGGGCAGAGAGGGGAGTCTCCAGTGCTGGGGACCGTGGGGGTGGGGAGAAGGTTCTCTTACCCCCTCCCCACCCCGAGGTCCTGGCACCCTCCCAGTGCCCTTTCTTCCCCACAGGCCTCGGCCCTGGGGTTTTGCCCCAGCACTATCCACTTCTAACTGGTGAGAGCCCCCAAACACCTCTCGCTGGAAAACCAGAGAGCAACTTTTGGGTAGTTTCACCGGAGTCCTTTAGCCTCAGTCTACTGCTCTGTAAGTGGGGAGGACAGAAACAGTAACTGTGAGCAATCACAGCTAATTTACTGAGCACGAACTATGTACCAGGCCCTGAACTAAGAATAGGATTTGCTTATGCCTCATAACTCTTCCAGATGGGTATTAGTCTGCTTCCATTTTACAGATTCAGAGACTGAAGCACAGAGAGGTTAAGCATCTCACCCTGGGTCACACAGCAGTAAGGGGCAGAGGCAGTTCCCGAGCCTGTGTTCCCAAATTCAACACCCCATCTCATCCTCTCACCCGAGGAGGGGGACGACAAGATGACGTAGGGTGCCCCCAGGGTCTGGCACACAGTAGGTGCTCAGCACCAAGTCATCCTGCCTTTCGGTGACCAGGGGATATCCTGGCTCCCAGAGGCCCTGACCCCAGCCCGGACTCACCGTGGCTACACCTGTCACCGTGGGGAGCTCCCTGGAGTACTGCAGGGCGGCACAGATGGCGGCCACAGCCGCGTCGATCCGTCTCTGACAGTCGTCAGAGGGTCTCAGGGAGGTCTGGATGTACTGGTCCAGGCTCTGTGCAGACACTGAGTTCACGGGCATTGGGCAGGCAGTGGAGAACCAGCTTCCCATCGTTCTCGCTGGCTGCTGAGGTGACAGCGTATGCCAGAGCAGCAAGCAGAGGAGAAAGAGCAGCTCTCAGCTCTAGTCTGGATGCTGAAATGCCCAAGAGCCAGGAAAGTGAAACTCAACAGCACACGCCCAGCTGAATTTCTCAATCCCAAGTCCCGCCCACCCCTCTCCTGCCTGCCCTCGGCTCTGGTTACCAGACTTTCAAGTGTTCTGGAGGAGCCCTCCTCCCCAGGAAACTCACAGCCTCCTGAGCCTGCTTACCTGGGCTTGGGATGCGCTGGACCCACCCACCTCCTGGAGCACACTGCCTGCCCATTTTGTGGCCCGTTTCCGCCTCCGTAAAACTGGGGTGCCTCTTGGATTGGATGAACTCGAGAATGAAATAATACCTGCCACATACTTAGAACAGGGTCTGGCAGGCGGCCATGGCTCTGTGTTGGTTAAGCAAGTAACATTTTATAGGGGCAGAGGGCCTCTCTGGAAGCTCCTTTCCCTTTCTGCCGTTCCCAGGGACCTGAGAACTGGGACTCGGTCAGAGCAGCGAGGAGAAGGAGACCCAGAGAGGTGACTGCCCTGCTCAGGAGCGCACGGCAATACCAGGGCTGAGCTGGACTCAGGTCCCAGGGTGGTCAGCGGGGCGGGTGGGGGTATCCGTGTGCCCGGCTCCTTTCTCAGCACGCACGGAAACCTGCAGTGCCCCCTCAGGCACTTACCCCACCTGGCAAGGATGGAAAACGGCCTCAGAGGCACACAGTTCAGCGGGGAGACGTACGTGCAACTCCTATACCCGCAGCGATGAAAAGGCAACTCCAAAGCACACGTCCCCAGGGGTGGGGAGAACAGAGCCTTTCTCTGCCATGATGATTAACTTTGTATGTCAGCTCGGCTGGGCCACGGTACCCAGATATGTGGTCAAACATGACTCTCTAGTGTGTGGGTGGGCCCCGTCTAATCAGTTGAGGGCCTCCGTGGGAAAAAGACGGCCTTCCCTTGAAGAAGAGGGAATTCCACCAGCAGATGGCCTTCAGACTGGAGCTGCAACATCAGCTCTTCCCTGGGTCTTCCTCCTGCCAGCCTGCCCTGCAGAATTGGGACTGGCCAACCTTCATAATAGCATGAGCCAATAAATCTCTAGGTCTAGATCTATGCATCCTATTGGTTGTTTTCTTGGTGTGTGTGTGTGTGTGTGTGTGTGTGTGTGTGTGTGTGTGGAACCTTGACCACTACACCTGCCCATTAAGGGCCCTTTCCTGTCCTTCCCTGACTTTCACTGTAACACCCAGTGGTCGGCTGGGCAGGGGGCAAGAGGCCCTTTTGTTAGGTGAATGCAGGGAGGCTCAGAGAGGTGGAAACATTTGCCCAAGGTGACATAGCTAATAAACTGGCTAGGTTCTAATGCCACACTACGTGATCTCAAGGCCCGGGCTTGCTTTATTACTACTTTTTAAAGACTTGATTCTGCAGTAATTGGAAATACGGAGAAAATGTACACGACACATACAAAGAACACCCTGGTATCCTCACCCAGAAGATTTTACATTTGCCCCTCATTCTGTATGCACATCTCATCACTACAATTGCTACTAAGGAATTGGAGAGCGTGTTGCAGACATTATGCCCCTTTATTCTTTTTTAAAAATACTTTTTTTTTCAAGCAGTTCTAGGTTCACAACCAAATTGGGCTGATGGCCCAGGGATGTCCTGTGTACTCCCTGTCCCCACTCAGTGGGACACTGGTTACAACCGATGAGCCTACATCGGTTTCATGAACCTGTGACACACAGTAATTATCCAGGCCCCTTTACTCTTAAATACGTGCATCCGTAACCCCTAAGAACAGGGCTGCTTCCTCTCTGCCTCCCTGTCCTGCCCGCTGGGGGCAACCACACCCTCGCCCACCCAACAGCCGTTCACAGCGCCTATGCCAGGGATGCTGTTACGGACGCCGCCCTTGGCCCTGGGCATCCATGCCTCCTTGGGGTGGGAGGCGAGACATCACTTTTTAGATGCCCTTGCAGCCAGAGTTCTTGTTGTAATTTAGATTGTTTCGGAGGAGACATGCGGGAGCTGCCCTCCTGCAGCCCTGGTGGCGGCCAAGTCCTGAGAGATGCCGGTGGCTGCTGGGGTCCACGTTCCCGGGTCTGGGCCCCAGCTTGGTGGATGTGAGGCAGCAGGGGCGGCTGCAGTGGCCTTGGCAGCAGCAGCCTCCTGACCACCCTGGTCTAACATTGGAAATTCCGGTGCTGTGGTGGCTCCACCCTCCTTCCGCCCACCTGGGGGTTTAGACGGAATCCCTTTGGACACCCGGTTCCCAGAGTGCTTTCTGCTCTCCGTGCCGATCCTTCACTAAGAGGGACCCTGTCATTGGGCTGGAGGTCGGGGGTGCCTCCTGCACAGACCCGGTGGGTTTGCGAGGGAGGGCGGAGGGAAGCTGGCTGGGCACTGTCACGGGGGCACTGACTCCCGTTGAGGCTCTGGGGGTGGAGGATCCCACTGGTGGCACCATAGCTGTTCAGGAGGCACGACAGGAACTCAGTGAAAATCCAGGAGGGCACGTAGGGCATGGCATTAAGGTGCACAAACTGGGTGGGCGGGGTGAGGGAAATGGGAAAGGTGAACAAAAGGAAGCCTCCAATGAAAAGGCATCCAGTGAAATGTTCAAGGAGAGGGACTGCATGATATGCAGGTCCCCATCCTCTCTGTCTCTGTCTGCGGCAGGCAAAAGTAGCTGATCCGGGCACGCTGTCCCTCTGGCAGCTGAGCTCAGAGAGCTTCTCAATGGGCCAGACATACAACGTAGATCTTTCGGCACTTCTTTCTGTATCCGGGCCAGACATAGCTAATCGATCACGGCACTCGTGCCATTGTTTTCCTCTATAGCATGGGTGGCAGACATCACTAGTTGATTAGGTCACTTCGCAGCTAGGTATCCATTCTTCACGATCCTTCAAAACCTAGGGCTTCAGGCAGCCACGACCAGCTGCGTGTGGCTGACACACAGATAAAAGGTCTACAATCTCTGAAAAGTTCGTAGACTGGGGAAGAAGGGGCAGCCACCGGGAGCCAGCGATGGGTTTCAGTAGGAGGAAGGATGTGAGCTGGAGCGGGCGGGCAGAGACAAGTCAGGGAGGAGGAGGGCATTCTCGGCAGGGGCGGGATGCAGCTGGGAGCAGAGAGGGAGTCATGAGCGTGGAGGAGAAGCTGGAAACCCAGGCTGGCGCCCACCCATGGAGTCTGGACTCCCCCGTGTAGGCCGCCAGGGCAGGGGAGTGTTTGAGACATGTAGTGCCCATCGGATACGAGGGGAGACTCAACGGGGCTGGGTAAGCAGAGTGGGCTGCCAGGAGGAGAGCTCCAAGCTGGGGGGGCAGGGTCATCAGCTGGGAGGCTGCACTGAGGAGGAGAGTGAAGTCACCAAGTCTCTCTCCTTCTCTCTCTCTCTCTCTCTCTCTCTCTCTCTCTCACACACACACACACACACACATCTGGCAGGTGACCCTGAGTCTTCCCACACCGAGGGCTGGCATCCATCTGTCCATCAGGTACGACCACTGATTTTCTGGCCTTCACACAGCAGCCTGGGGAAGGTTACAGAACAGGTTGGTTATCCGTCCCCTTCCCAGAGAAGCTCAGACGGTGTGAACAGACAGAACACGGAGGCACAGGGGCCCCTCTGGGCCAGGACTGCGCCCTGCCCCCTTGGGAGAAGCACGCCCCTCCCCCGACCACACTGCCCCCAACAAAGGGTGCTCCCACAGGTCTCTCACCTTCACTGGCCACGGCAGGATGGGGGTACCGTCTCTGTCCATGCAGCACGGGGCGGATATGTAGGCGGCAGCTTCCTCCGCCAGCAGGTCCCAGCGCGCACTGTGACCCAGGATGCCCGTCGGGTCAGCCGGATCCAGGATGATGGGCCTGCAATTCCCATGCAAGGTCAGTCATGTTCCTGGCAACATCTGGGTAGCCACCTGCGAGATCGCTCGAACTATTCTCCTTCACCTAACACTCTACAGGGGGGCAGGGGCAGGGATCGGGGCAGAACCAAGAGACTCCTCAGTGCTCCAGGCACACACTTGAGGACAGAATGGAAAATAAGCTACGCTCGGGACCCCTTTTGTCCGTCTGTATCAGGGCAGACATTACTAATCAATCGCAGTGCTCAGGACACACTTGCCCTGCCTGCAAGCAAAGCAGGCATTATTAATCGACCTCAGCACTGGTTCCACCACTCTCCTTGCATCTGTGCTTCCTAACAGATGAGGCCACTCTTTTCAGCGGAGCCAGTTCACAACCTCAGTGTCTTTTTCAACACATCACTCTAAGAAGCCACTACCCACAGACTGGAGATACATCACACACTTGTTACCTCTGTAGCATGTGACAGGTGGGCAAAATCCCCCCAAATGGGACATGCCTGTGTTACCTGGTAGGTTCATAGGCAGGGTTGCCAGATTTAGCAAATACATATAGAAGATGGCCAGTTAAATGTGAGTTTCAGATAAAAAAAATGAATATGGTGTTCTTTTAAAAGCATATCCCAATGACTGCATGGGACATTCTTATACTACAAAGTTACTTTTTTTTTTTTTTTTTTAGAGAGGGAAGGGAGGGAGATAGAAAGAGAGAAACATCAATGTGCGGTTGCTGGGGGTCATGGCCTGCAACCTAGGCATGTGCCCTGACTGGGAATCGAACCTGCGACACTTTGGCTCTCAGCCCGAGCTCAATCCACTGAGCTACGTCAGCCAGGGCCCAAAGTTACTCTTTATTTATCTGAAATTCAAATGTAACTTGGAGTCTTGCATTTCATCTGATAACCCCTATTCACAGGTGACCAGGAAACGGATTGCCTGTCTAAGGACATTACCTCTAGGAAGGAACTCGGTTCTAGAGAGTGGATTTCCCTGTCTCTGCTCTGTGCCCTCAGGCAGTGGGGAGAGACAGTGAGGGCCCTTGGATCTGACACTCGGGGGCACTGAGGGGCGGGTCCGCACCTAGCCTTCTGAAGCTGCATCCTCAGGAAGTCTCCGATGGTCTTGTCCTCATAGTCGTAGTTGACGGTCCAGTAGACGCAGAGCTGGCGGTACTGGGTGACCAGCTCCAGGACAGTGCGAAAGCCCTCGGCCATGTTGAACCGGGGGTCCTGCCCACCCTGCTCCCAGGCATACACTGCCAGGAGCTCCAGCCCGTGCTGGGGGGGCAGAGAGCCTTTCCCCTTGGGCTTCTTGGTGCACTAAGAAATGAGGAGAAAGATGGGGCACTGGTCCATACTGACAGTGAAGGAGTATGGGAGGGACCATCCCGAAGCCGGAAATCACCCCCAAACTTTTACTGAGCGCCTTCTCTGCCAGATGCCTTGTCATGCATGACACCATACACTCTTGTGACGTAGTCATGTCAGCCCCGTTTTACAGATAAGAAAACTACGACCCTGTGGCAACATCTCTTTCTCCTCCACTGACCCAGGGTTCCCGCCAGGGCTGGGCCCCCTCCTCCCGGGAAAACGCTCCAGGGCAGAGCCTAGGGCCGCCGGCAGGGGGCGCCCGCCCACCCGTGTGCGAACCTGGCGGTACCAGTGCTTCACCAGTCGGATCAGGCTCTTCAGCTTGGTGGGGCGGGAGACGATGAAGTCCCGCTGCAGCTCCGTGAAGCAGCAGGAGTACTCGCCCGCGTTGCTGCAGCTGCGGATGAGGTCCACGTAGACGCGAGGGTGGGGCCTGCGGCCGGAGCCCAGCTGGCCTGCAGACAGGGAGAAAGTCCCCCTCACTGCACTTCCGGGGGTCACAGCGAGGCCCATGAAAGAGCTTCAGAAATCTCCCACTCGGGTGTTTCCCTGAGTGGTCTGGGGTCCGCTGGAGGCCACGGGTGTTTTTAGGTGGGACACAGATGTGGTGTGACCCAGCGCTGCATCTCTGGGGAGGCTCCTACCCCCGTTTCTGCCTGCTTTCCACCCACCTGCTTCCCCATCATGAACAAAGTCTCAGCTCGGAGCTAACAGACCTTGGATGGATCCCTGGCTCATCTCTCTAACAGGAGGCCCTGCAGAGGACAGAACTGTGTGTGGGGAGAGTCGGCGTGACGCTGGTCCCAGTGCACCGAAAGGCACTCCCGTGATATCCAAGCTCCGGCTCTCTGGACTGAGGAACCGAACAGGTTCAGGTACATTTCTGGATCAGTCTCTCCCTTGTTTTTCTCTCCTACGGGTTTTGCAAAATGCAGGGACCAAATCCATTGAGATCAGGGGGATTTCCTCACTCCGCAAACTCTCCTGTGCAGACACAGAACTGAACAGATGCAAAGAGATTCGTGTCTGTTTTGTTCAGGGATTTGTCCTTTGTGTCTGGAAGGGTGCAGGGCACATAGTAGGGGCACTTACTGGACTGACTGAATGGGCCTGTGGCGGGTGGGGGAGGTGCACTGAGGCACTTGGATGTCCTCGTTGTCAGATGAAGACACTGGGGCTCAAGGCAGAGGAGTCCCTTGTTCAAGGTCACCCAGCATGCTGGTGGAATTGATGGAACTAGAACCCAGCTCAGGGCCACTGGCCACCCATGTAGCACCTTTGTGCTAATTGGAAAAAGGTGTCCTTTCCTCCAGACACTTTGCGGGCAAGTTGGGATACGCGTACATGTCCACCATGCCTACGATATGAATGGGGGCACGACCTCCACACCGCCCCCGGAGGGTCCTGCCTCCGCATCCCCCCCCTCAGGACTGCCTCTCGGCCCCTCACCTAGGGCGTCAAAGGCCGGCAGCACGTCAAAGTCCACACTCTGGTCCGGCATCGTCTGCGACGCCAGCGAGAAGCTCAGCACGCGGGGATTCTCCCACCTGGAGATCTCGAACTGCACTTCAAACTGCTGTTCCTGCTTGCACCTCTCCAGCTGGGCTCGGATCTCTGACACGACCTCGGCCCGCCTGCTCCCCTGATCGGTGAACTGGTGGAAGCAGCTGAGGAACACCACCAGGTCGGCATCGGAGTGGCCTTGCAGCGCGGTTCCTTTGGCCGAAGAGCCGCCCTGGGGAGAACGTGGCAGGTGGCCTGAGCCCCGACGTATGGCTCAATGTCCCCCTGCCAGAGCCTGTGGGCTCTGGGTTCTGAGACAGGAACTTGCTGTGTGACCTTGGGCAAGTCACCTAACCTCTCTGTCTTAGGTCTTTACTATGGGGTTAATACATGGGGTAGTTGTGAGAAAAGGAAATGTGCAAGATGGAAGCTTAAACCCTTCAACAAATGCAAAATTTCCCACTGCATCATGTTTGGGGGCTGGGAGGGAGTTGAGGGTTTTCTTTCCTCCTCCCTCCTTTCCTCCCTCCCTTCTTCCTTTTTCCCTTTCTTTCTATTTATTTTTAGGCCTGCAGTTGGTTCTCAAGCCTGTCTGCAGCAGGAGAGCTTTAAAAATGACTGGGACCCGGCTCCTATGTCCCTGGACTATGATTTAGTTTCCCTGGGAGGGGGCTTAGACATCAGTGTATGTGTGTGTGTGTGTGTGTGTGTGTGTGTGTGTATGCCTGCCTGTGATTCTCAGTGAAGGCACAGTTGAGAACCAGTGAGTCAGCATATTGTCCTCAAGGGCTATGGATGAGGAAGGCAGGGATCAGAGAGGAGAAGGTGTTTGTCTGGGGTCACACAGCAAGTCACCAGGCTAGCACCTATGTCACTGACACTGTTTCCAGAGTGGACCTGTGTCTCCCTGTGACTCCAATCGTGAGCCGAGGACATATCTGCTACAGCAGGCGATGCGACTTCATGAAGCCCTAGCATCCTTTCTACCTTCTGGGATCAGCGTGGGTTTCCTTGGGGGGAACCATCCCTCCCCCACACTCCACCCATGAGGTCCGCATAGGGCTGACTCCACCATGTGACCCAGGCTTGGCTGGTCAGCACATGATGTCTCCCTAGCCTGGTGATTGGTTGAGGGATATATCACCAGGCCAACGAAACCCATTTCCAAGACTTCTTTGCATTGTGAGAAAAGAGAAATCCCTTTCTAGAAGCTTAGAGATGCCAAGGACCATCACATGGACAGAGCCTGTCCAAGACAGGAGACAGAGCCAGAGCTAGAAAGAAAATCTGAGTCCTGATTATCTTGTGTGGGCTCCTGGATGCAGCTGTGCCTGAAGGCAGTCTGTTCTAGGGCCTTCCATTGGCATCAATTGACACATTCATTTTATTGCTTCTTTGGAGTCAGCTGTCATGAGCGACTAAAAGAAGCTTCTTGGGCATATATGGACCCGCCCTCAGCCATCCATGCTTGACCATGTTCTGCTTTCTCCCCGTGTTTGGTTGTGTGCTGTCTGTAGCACGCGTCACAGAAGTGGGTCAGGCCTGGTCCAGGCCTAGGCGCCATCGCCAGCCTACAGGACCTTCTTGGCCCACAGCTGTCTGGGGACTCACCTTGACCACCTTGAGCACTTTGATGGGACGATTCTGGAAGCAGTTTTCCCTCAGGAATGAGCAGATGGTATCAACAGCCTTGTGCACTTGACCCAGGAACTGGCGGTCGGGCTGGAGAAAGTCACTGATGAACCTGTCGAGGTCCCTGGCTGGAGTCTGGAGAAGGAGAGCGGGCTGCGGAGAGAACCCGGTGGGGTCGGCGCGAGGCAGGGTTCCCTGCGAACGCCCAGGCCCCGCCCCTGGTCTACCGTGGTCTAATGGTTCCCACGATCTCCTAGAGCTCCCTGCTCTTCTCAGCTGGTTGGCAGACCACGGCATCAGAGGGACGAGTTCAAGTTCTGGCTCTGCCAGCACCACACAGCCTCAGTCTCCCCATTGTCACATGGGGGCAGGAATGAGGCCCAGGGCTCATCCGATTGTCCTGAGTGGTAAGTGCTGGCTATGAGATTTGGCTGCAAAGCAGCACGTGCGATGAGGTAGCTGTGAATGGCCGCTGTCTGAAGTGGACTCCCCAGAGGCAGAGCCTGTAACGGGGACCCTTGCGCACGCGATTCGCTGGGACAGTGCTCGCAGGAGAGGGGAGTGAGGGAAGCAGGCGCGGGTGGGGGAGGCTCAGCTGGAGGAAGTTTGTTCTGGACCCCAGAGGGGGCTCCAATGCATGACTTGCATCGTGGAGCTGGTCCTGTTTTGAAATGGGTGCGCATGTCACTTGAGCAGTGGCTGAGGCGGACCAACCTGTGTCTGAACTGTGAGCCATCAGCTTCCAACACTCTTAGAGGCTGGGGGCGTGGGGGAGGGGATGTGGACTGGGGCACCAACAGGGCCCCATCTCCAGGCTCCACCTCTTACCATCACATCCCAGGGCTGCACAGGTGCCCCGTCTCTACTCATGAGGCAGGCCTGCTTCTCCAGGGCGGCCGCTTCCTGGGCCAGCAGCTCCCAGCTGCCCCGGCCCACATTCCAGGTGGGGTCGGCAGGGTCCAGGATCAGGGGCCTGGGGGCAGAGTGGGTGGGCGAGCGGGGGTGGGGGGGAGATGAGAATCAGTGAAGGAGTAGGGGGAGAGACTGGGAAAGGGTGTGGGGGCTGGAGGGAGAGAGAGGAGTGTCAGCACCTTCGGGCTGGTGCAACCTCGCCCAAGCACAGTAGGGTCCCTCCTTGGCCACCTCCGTCAGGAAGCTACTGGGTGGCCCTTTAATTTCATATACGGGGCTGTATCGTGTTAATAAAGCGGGCCCTGTGCCTACACTTCCTGGGCAGAGTCCAGAAGGGAGCAGAGTGAGGATGGGGTTGGAGCACCCAGACCCCACCCTGGACCCCTCCTGGGTGCAGCGATCCCAGGCGGAGAGTGGGGGAGGAGGAGGATGCAGGGCAGGGGAGGAGGCAGAGGGTGCACCTGGGTTTCTGAAGCTGGCCCAGGAGGTGCCTTCTGAGCGCTGGGTCCTCAAAGCTGTAGTTGACTGTCCAGAAGACACGGAGTTGCTGGTGCTGCTGGACAAGCCCCAGGACGGTCCTCAGGCCTTCGGCCATGTGGAATCGGTGCTCCCTGCTGCCCTGCTCCCAGGCGAAGATGGTCAGGAGCTCCAGGGCGTAGGCTGGGGGCAGGGGGGCACAGGCTGGCCGTTCTCCTCTGTTCTGGGCGGCAACCTGTGTCGCCCAAGTTAAAGAATCAGCAGTGCAAGCACCGACCATATGCTAAGCATGGCCCTACACACTTGTGGAAGGAGGGGAATAAAAACACAAAACCACAGATAGAATAGAACCTCGGGGGTGGCCTGGCTCACCCTTCTCATTTCGCAGGTGAACAAACTGAGCTCTGGGAGGCAGTGGGCAGTGACTTGCCCAAGGTCGTGGAGTGAGACCAAGAAGCTCAGACTAGGTCTTTGCCTAGAGTCTCGCCTCAAAGGATATGTGGGGCGGTCGTGGAGGAATGGGGTCTGTGACATATTCATTGTGATATTTCACCACCCGCCACAACAGTTAGCGATAGTGGGCGCTCAGTAGATGGTTGAATAAATGCGTGTGTGAACGTGAGCTGGCATTCAGAGAGGCGTTTGCTGGGGGAACTCTGAAAGATGCTCCAGATTTAGCATGTGTTGCAAAGACCGATGGTGATGGAGGAGCAGCAGGAGCAAAGGCTTGGAGGTGAGCAAAGACCGGGAAAGCAATCGCAGTGGGAGGAGCTATGGCTAGAGAGTGGCGGTGAACCCCAGGTGCAAGAAATGAGAATTTGGGGACTTGATGGAGAAGACCTTCTATCTTAGCCTGGGGTTTTCTGGGTCTGGGCAAGACCTGCAGGGTGGAGGGGGAGGTTCTTCTGCTTGGGATAGCCAATAAAAAGCAAAGGAGGGCGCGCTGGCAGTGTAGGGAAGAAGTTGATTGGCCAAAGCGGTTGCCATGGCAGCGACTGATTCCTAGAAGGAGCCAGCCGGTCCTAAGGCCTCACCTGGCGGTACCAGTGCTTCACCAGCAGGATCAGGTTCTTCAGCTTGGCCGGGCGGGTGTTCACGAAGTTCCTCCGCAGCTCTGCGAAGCAGGCTGCGTGCTCACCCTCCTGGCAGCCGCTGTCCAGAAGGGTGCAGTAGACCTGGGGGTCAGGTTTGGTGCCAGAGCTGAGCTGCCCTGTGGATGTTGGAAATAAATGCATTTCTCATTGAAGTGAGTAGCATTTCCCAACTCAGCCACTCTCCAGCCTTTAATATTTGGACATTAATGATATAATGTTGCAATCAATAATACACAATCTATAACATGGAATAACAATCAGAACTCTTACTGTTTTCAGCAGCAACTATGTACCGGGTGCTTGTCAGTCATTTCCGCTAACTCACCCAATAGCTTTGCAGGTGGATAATCTTGCACCCAAACATGCTATGTAGCAAAGTGGTTACGTGAATGAGCTTTGGAGGCAGACAGGCCTGGGTTCAAATTCTAGCCATGTGACCTTGCCTCCCTAGGCCTCCGTTTCCTCATCTGTAAAAGGGGGATAACATCCATCTCACAAGGCTATGGTAAGAATCACATGAGATCTACACGTACAGTGCTCAGAACAACAGTTAAAACATAACATGTGCTCAGCAAGCACAAACGGTTGCTATGATCAATATTATCCCCCACAGAGAAAACCAAAGCACGGAGAGGAAACTGGAATGAGTCCCGGACCATTCTTTCATCCTGCGGGCACTCTGGATTACATGCCTTCTCCATGGAAGGTGACGAAAAAAATCACCTACTCACAGAGAAAGGCTTCAAGGAAGCTTGCCGCCATGGCTGTGCGGGGGGGCGGGGAGGAGCGAGGGAGAGAAAAGTCTCTCAGGAGAAGGTGAGACCCCGCCCCCTGTGAGGGTGAAGTCTACGTTTACAGAATCTGCGCTGGAAGGAAACCCCGGCTACCAAGTTGCAGTAAAATTGACTTGGGAATCAGTGAAATTCTTGGAGCTCAGCTGGAAGCCCAACAAACACTTGGTTCCCTAAGGATATTTCTCCACCCTGGAGCAGAAGGAACTCCCGCGGCAAAAGGAAAGAAGAGAAAAGCCCCACACACCCTAGAGATGGGCTCATAGTAAAAAATTACAGAACACACGAGGAAATGGCCCGCCATGAGGGGGAGTGGGGTAACACAACCAACAGGAGAGCGAACGCTTAGGGACTTGGAGAGAACAGGCCAGTCTGAGGGGCTAAAACAAGCATGACTAAAATAAGTAAAGACACAAAACACACTGAAGCCACAATGAAAGAAGAGGAGCCTATGAGCAAATAACAAGTTGACTTGAGAAATCGCTAAATAGAACTTCTAGAAGTGAAAAATAAAGTCACTGCGATTTTTTAAAAATTGAAGGTTAGGCAGCAGATTAGACACATTTGAAGGAAGTAAAGCAGAAGATAGGTTTTTGAGCAACTGAGCGGCAGGCAACCCCGAGAGATGGGCAGAACGGGGGCTATGAAGAGACGGGGAGAACGAAGGGAGATACTGTTAAATAAAGTTCCGGAAGCAGAGAACGGAGAAAACAGGAGAGGCAATGTTTGAAGAGACACTGGGAGACGTGCTCCCAAAACTAAAGAAAGAATCGCCTCCTCAGATTCCATAAGCACAACAAATTCCAAATAGTCTAATTAAGAGGAAATCAATATGCTCAGATATCAGAAACTGAACAATACTATGGACTAAGAAAAGTCTTAAAAGCTACCAAAAAGGAAAGTAAAACCACACACAGGCACACCCTATCAGCAAAGAAGTCGACAGCCGACTTCTCATCAGCAACCATGGAGATCAGGAGACAATAGAAACTGAGGAAAATGAATGGTAAATGTTTCCTCCAGGAGTGTAGCTGAAACAGAAAGGATTTGTAGGCAAAGTCTGGGAACACGTACCCCTCATAAACCCTCTCTGAAGCAGTGCTACTACAGGATCTATTTCCGTAAGAAGGAAATGAATCCAGAAGGAAGAACGGGGAAAAGGAGAAAATGTTGCTAATTATGTTCACTGATTTTAATTTGCACAAGGTATAAAAACAAGGAAAAGAAAATAACTGTTCTTATCATTAGTGTCTTGTATGTTAGTTCTACTATATTATTAATTCCCTCAAAATTATTACATTATTGACCCTGGCTGGGTCACTCAGTGGGTTAGAGTGTCATCCTGATACGCCAAGGTTGCGGGTTTGATCTCCAGTCAGGGCACATACATGAAGCAACCACTGATGCATAAATTAGTGGGACAATGACTGAATGTTTCTCTCTCTCTCCCTCCTTCTATCTCTAAAAAATCAATAAGTTAAAAATTATTATGTTACTATTGTTGGTTCCATCTTTGTCTTCGAGTTTTATGTTATTTATAAAAGGCACAATTAAAATTTGATAACATGCCCTTACAAATAAAAAATAGAAAAAAGTATTTCAGGAAAACACTCTCGAAAGACCAGTGCAGCACTATGAGTATCAGGCAAAATGCTTTAAGGCAAATAAATATTTTAGAAAGAATGAGGGTTATTACTTAATGATAAAAGGAACGAGCCAGTAAAAACATAATTATATACTTACATGCTCCTTAATAATATAGCCTCAACATATTAAAATCAAAACTTTCCAACGTTCCAAGGAGAAACTCGTAAACTGCATTCAGAGGAGGAGATTCCAGTATCCCAATTATAAAGTCATAGACCCAATGAGCAGAAAGTAAGTGGTATAGATCCGAACAAAGACCATAAGCCAGATCTAAAACATCCACCTAGAAGCCTGCATTCAACAGTGGAGAGCATGCATTCTTTTCAACCGCGGGAACCCTAGGAAGTGCCACCAGACTCCAAAGAACTGATATTTGGGAGGTACATTTTCTGACTACAATGAAAAATAGACAAAGATAGCCCTGGCTGGCATAGCTCAGTGGATTGAGCTCGGGCTGTGAACCAAAGTATCGCAGGTTCGATTCCCAGTCAGGGTACATACCTGGGTTGCAGGCCACGGCCCCCAGCAACCACACCTTGATGTTTCTCTCTCTCTCTTTCTCCCTCCCTTCCCTCTCTAAAAATAAATAAATAAAATCTTTAAAAAAAAAAAGGTGAGATTCTTAAAAAAGAAAAAGAAAAACTGATGTAAAGTTTTACAAGTACTAAACAGTTATGGATTGATGATGATGAGTTTCCAACGCCTGGCGAAGGGGAATGAGGATCACAGAGAAGACCACAGGAGATGTTCCCCGGTCCCTGCAGGGCACAGGCCGGGCGCCCCTCACCCACCCACGGCATCAAAGACGGGCAGCAGGCTGACATCCATCCAGCTCTCTAGGGCCGAGGACACGAGCTGGAACTGCAGAGCCTCGGCCACGGTCTGCTCTGGGAAGCTGAGGGTCAGGCCGGGGACCGGGTCCTGCCACCAGGATTCCAGCTGTGCCCGCATATCGTCAAGAATCTCTGCGAGGCGGGGACCCTGGTCCTGGTAGTTCTTGAAGCAGGTGAGGAAGATGACAAGTTCGGCGTCGCAGCCACCCCTGAGGTCTGTGCCCCTGCCGAATGAGCCCCCCTGTAGAGAAAAGACCATTTCAGACCTGGGCCTCTATTTGAGCCTGGGTGGGGGAGTGGTCAGACTGCGGCCCCACCAGCAGCCCCCCACCCGTGGCTCTGAAGCTGCTCTCTCACAGCCGTTGGGTCGTGGGGACACAGAGACAGATGCAGGCTGCATAAGCCCTGTGACCCTGACCGTCAGAAGCCTGGCAGAGGCAGACTACCTCCACCAGCATTTACCTTCCGACCCACAACGCCGTACAAAAGTCAGACAATACGCAGCAACAGGTGACAGAGGTGGTTGGGGACGGGGAGGGACCGAGTGGGGGCAGTGGTCAAAGATTTTAGCCAAACATCTGCAGTACGTCTGGATCCCAGGTCGCAAATTGGGGTCCTGGGGCCACCAGGGGTCTGCAGATGTACTTGGCCTATTTCAGGTAATCAGTCCATCTGTCTGTTCACACGTTCCTTCACGCGTTCAGCAGATGCTTGCTCAGCGATAACGTACAGGGGTGTGCAAGTGGATAGAATTACTTTCCTCCTGGCACTTGATTGCATCAGGGGGGCGGGGGCGGGGGGGCGAGTGGGGAGGCAGGAACAGCCAGCAAACAGCCGCCCCCAGAAAGTGCTAAGTGCTGTGTGGAGGCCACAGCAAGGGGACCGGGAGCGGGTGGCACAGAGGGTGCAATTGTAACCTCAGCAGTCGGGCCTCCTGGAGAAGGGGACTTGGGCCACGGGCTTAAAGGAGGGGAGGGAGAGAGCCAAGTGGATGGGGGCAGAACATTGCAGAAAGAGAAAACAGCCCGTGGGCATGTGTGCCCCCCTGAGCTCAGGAAGAGCCAGGGGGTGAGTGTGGAGTAAGTGAAGGCCAGCGAGAGACCAGGGCCAGAGGGGCCAGGACCAGATCCACGGAGGCCTCAGTAGTCTGCAAAACCACGGAGGGTGTTGTGCAGAGAAGGGAAATGATCTGACTATGGTAACAGAGGTTTTAAAAAACTGTATCATTAAAAAAAAAAAGCTGGGCCCTGGCTGGCATAGCTCAGTGGATTGAGCACGGGCTGCGAACCAAAGTGTCGCAGGTTCGATTCCCAGTCAGGGTACATGCCTGGGTTGCAGGCCATGACCCCCAGCAACCGCACATTGATGTTTCTCTTTCTTTCTCCTTCCCTTCCCTCTCTAAAAATAAAAAAATAAAATAAAATCTTTAAAAAAAAAAAAGCTGGCACCTAAATATATACCTCCAGCCAGCAAACTACCCTCCGTGGATGTCACTTCCTCTGCCCACCCCCAGAGCATGTCTGTGACTTCTTCCCGCCTCCACGGTGGTCCTCCCATTAGGGCCCCATCTGTGTCTCCCCCGGCGGACTCACCTTGCTGACCCTGGAGACCTTGTGGACACACTTTTCACGGAGGCAGCCCAGGATGACATCGATGGCCTTGCTCGCCTGCTTCTGGAACAGGGTGTGTGGCTTGAGGTGGTCCTGGATGAAGCAGTCCAGCTCCCTGCTGGGGATCTGGGACAGATCCGGTGCAGAGGGGGCGATGCTGGCCACGGCGGAGAAGACGGGGGCTGGGCAGAAGGGCCGCTGGTTCCCTGCCCCTGGGCAGACAGCGCCAAGGCCGAGGCCACTGCTGTCCTTGGAGGTCTTCTGGGCGGGGTCTCGCAGGATGTGGAAGTCCAAATCTGAGCACCCAGGACGCGGAAGGCCCTGGAAGTTTGTGGACCGAATTGTCTTACACATGCAGGGGTCTCTTTGTTCCTTCTCTCGCCAGCCCCTCCCACTGGGTAGTCAGGGTGACTGAGGCTCAGGGAGGGGAAGCGAGAGGCTGCCCAGGTGGCGCCTTTGTGCAGATCAGAAAAGGGGCCCTTCTGAGGGGAATGTATTATAAAGAGGTCCCCCCGCGGTGGGCGAACACAGCTTGATAAGCAGAGAGTAACTGCGCAGAGACTGGCGATTAGATTGTTTCACAGGCCTGCTGCGCCCCGCCCCCTTTCAACCCAGGTCCACAGCCCATGGCCCCCAGTGCATAGTAGATGCTCAGAAAACGCTGAGCAGGTAAATTAGGAGCACAGCCCGAGGAGCTCAGGAGGCCCTCACTCACTGGCACCTCCCAGGGCTTCACAGCGCCCCCTGCAGCCTGCAGAAAACACCAGCGGTCACAGCAGGACTCGGCCTCTCGCGCCAGCAGATCCCAGGCCCAGGCTGCCCCATCCCCCACGTCCCACGTCGGGTCGGCCGGGTCCAGGATCACAGGCCTGCAAGTCCAAGGGAACAAGAAGATTCTGGCTGGCAGGATGCTCAAGGTCAGGGGCTCTGGAGTCAAGCTGGCCTGGCTCCAATCTCAATTTGGCAACTTTCTGGCTGTGCGACCAGCGGTTGTGTGATGGACTTTTCTGAGCCTCGGTTTCCTCAATTTCAAACTGGGGACAATAGCAGTGCCTGATAGCATGGGCTGTGGTGGCGGTCAAATGACAGCAACGATCCTCGACTCCACCTGCACGTCAGAACCGCCAGAGCCAGCCCGCGGGTCTCTGCGTGACACCCTAGGACTTGCAGTTTCCTCCCTCCCCAGATAGAAGTCCGGCACGTATGCGCATGCACTGAAATACGAGGCCTTGTATCACCGCCCTCCGGGGAATGGCCGCAGAGCGGAAACGCCCCAAACAGGCATCACAAACAGAATGGAGAACGTACTGTGATGAACCCACGCGAGGGAAGAGAATGCACCACAACCACCGCAGCTATGCGGATGGATCTCAGAGACTCCACTTGGGGAATGGAAGACAGACACAAAGGGCAGGCTGTGGGGTTCTGTTTAAACTTGATTTCAGGACAGAACCGGACTGACAGCAGACTGGGGTCACCTTTGGGAGGAGCCCGAGGAGAGCTCCCGGGGGCCTGGGGTATTCTGCCTGGATCGAATGGGGGGTTCACAGGTGTGACCCTTCACAGGAAGTCATCCAAATGTGTCCTGTGTCACCAAAATGCTCACGTCCAGAACATGCAGTACGTTTCTGGGAACTCCCCCAAGCGATTCCGTTTGCATCTGGGCGAATCCACGGAATTAGAAAGTGCGCACGTGGCGTTTGGCTTTGGCCCTCAGCGGACACGACCCGCTTCATCATGGTTCATTGCCTCCCCGTGACCCAGGCGCGGGAGAGCGGGCGGCGGGGTGCCAGGAGGTACCTGGGTCTCTGAAGCTGGCGAAGCAAGAACTCCTTAACGGCAGGGTCCTCGAAGCCGTAGTTGGTGGTCCAGAAAACACACAGGTGCCGATACTGCTGGATCAGGCCCAGGACCGTCTGGAGGCCTTGGGCCAGGCTGAAGGCATCCTTCCCACAGCCCTTCTCCCAGGCGAAGATGGTCAGCAGCTCCAGGGCATACGCTGGGGGCATCTTCCTGCTCCCCTTCTGTGGGCGCACCTGTAAGAGGGAGGGGCACGAGGCTCAGAGGATAAAGGGGAGGGGACCACTAGTTCTCTGCAGAAGTTTGCGGCATCTCTCGGTCTCTGGGGTGGAGATCTAGCAGGCTGAGCCCAGGACGAGAGGCTGTGTCTCAAGCCTGTTGTAAAGCAACCTGGTGTTTCTCATCTGCCCTCGCTACTGGGGCTTCAGCAATGGGCTTGGCTCATACAGTAGCGGGGGGAGGGAGAGGTATGAGATTCCAGCCCCCCAGGAGGAGGGAGCAGTCAGGCGAGGCCAGCGGGTAGACGGAGACTGTTATTCCCCACGTAAAAGCACGACAGAACTTGCCCAGGGCCACAGAGCAAGTCCATGGTCGAGCAAGAATTGGCATGGGGCACCTCCTCATTCCAGACCTGCTTTAGGATGCGTGGTCCAGCAGGAGGACCGAGCCCTGTGCCTTAAGACTTTGAGCAGCCTGTTCCCTCTTCTGCAGCCGCAGGCTGGGCCACGCTTCCCCAGTACACAGCCATGTATTAACAGGCATGCGCAGGGCAGGGCGGCTTTCCTGAGGCTGGGGAGGGCGCTGCACCAACTCTGTGGACCTCATGACGTACTTAAAACATCCCAGATCGTTTCCAAGCCCTAACCCTGAAAAGAAAGTCTTAAACCCCTTTAAAAAGAAACATGGGAGAATAACTTTAGAAAGTCAGAATAGGCAAAGGCTTCTTAAACAAGACCCAGAAAGCACAAATCACACGAGAAAAAGATGAACACAACTGACCACATTAAGATGCAAACATTTTCAGTGACAAAAGGCTTATAAATAAGTTGAAGGTATAAGCCACAGATGGGGAGACTAGATTTGCACACCCACCATATATAAAGAGTTCCAACCAATCAACAACAAGAAAGCAGCTAACCCAGTAGGAAATAACGAACAGCTTATGTGAACGGACGATTCCCAGAAGCATGAAGTGCTGCCAGGCAGAAGGGAGTATTTGCACGGTTGCAGAGACACAAATTTAAACCATCACATCCCCGGAGCGAGGACCCTCATGGGTGGCCTCACCTGGCGGTACCAGTGCTTCACCAGCAGGATCAGGTTCTTCAGCTTGGCCGGGCGGGTGTTCACGAAGTTCCTCCGCAGCTCTGCAAAGCAGGCTGCGTGCTCGCCCTCCTGGCAGCCGCTGTTGAGGAGGGTGGCGTAGACCTGGGGCTGGGGTTTGACGTGGGATCTGAGCTGCCCTGTGGACATGAAGGCCCGTGAGTGAGGAAGGGTGCTGGGGACCCAGGAAGGGGGGGCAGTGTTGGTGCTGAGCTCAGCTTGGGGGGCAGGAAGAGAGGGAGGAGGACTTGAGTGGGGGCACTGGAGGATGAGGAGGAGAGCCTGGAGCTTCTCAGGAGGCAGGGAGGAAAGCTCTGGACCAGAAGGGAGGGTCCCTTGCTCCCCAAATGGCCAGGCAGCCCCCAGAGGAAGGGGAAGCAGTGCAGCCTCATCCCCGGGAGGTTAAATAGAATGATGCTTCCTGCTGAGTCGGGAATCCTATGGCCTGGCAGCTCTTTCCTCCCGGGGGCTCCCTCGGGCTACACGCAAACACCACTGCACACACCTTTAACCAATTGGAACCGTGAGAGAAGAAGGGACGCCAGAGAAATATGAGGCGAGAGGTTCTGATTCCTTAGCAGTAATTGCTAATATTTCTTGAGCACCGACAGCATGCCAGGCCCTGTCCTGCATTCCCACTTGTCCATGCATCCCCTCATGGACTCCCCACTAAAACCCTACAGTTCTTCACCTCGTTTTATAGCTGTGGAAACCGAGGCACGAAGTAATTCAGAGCTCTGCCCCGGGGTATGTGGCTGCAGACAGGATCAGAAGGCAGAGCCGGCTGACTTGCCCCCCTCCCTGGGGCCTGGCTCGGGAAAAGTAAACACTCTCCATAACGTCCTAGGTTCCTGGCATCACTTATTTGCTGTGTGACTTCGGGTGAGTTACTGTATGTCTCTGTGCCTCAGTGTCCCTATTGGTAAAGTGGAAGGCCAGACAGTCAGATTTTATAGGCTTGTTTCCAGGAGTTTGTAAGATAAAACATGTCGAATGCTTGGGAAAGTTAAGCATTGGATAAGGAGTAGCTATTAAGATTAATAATAGAAGCCCTGGCTGGCGTAGCTCAGTAGATTGAGCACGGGCTGGGAACCAAAGTGTCACAGGTTCGATTCCCAGTCAGGGTACATGCCTGGATTGCAGGCCATGACTCCCAGCAACCGCACATTGATGTTTCTCTCTCTCTCTCTTTCTCCCTCCCTTCCCTCTCTAAAAATAAATAAATAAAATCTTAAAAAAAGATTAATAATAGAGCAGGTGGATAGGTGTGGGAGAGTGTGGCTGTAGCTGGGACATTGTAACCCAGGATAAACTCAAGAGAGCTACTTCCCAGAATACCATGGTACATGATAATAGTATCAATAATAATAATAGAAATAAGAATAGCAGGCACTCCTCCAGCCCTAGCATGTGTCAGACACCGTTCTGAGTTCATTACACGTATTAACACATACAGGCTTTCCCAGAACACATTTCTACTGTCCTATGATTACTACCTGCATTTGGCAGATGCAGACTCAGAGGCATATTATCATATTAAATCAAGCACGGGTATAGGACAAAGGAGAGTGCAAAAATCACACCGATGCTTTTAAGGTAAAATATGAGATTTTGCAGAATTTGCCTTCTCCTCTGGGCTATCTGTGGACGGGCTGAGCTGCACTTCGCAGGGGCTGAAGGAAATTCTCCCCAGTTGCTTGAGCAAGGGCCAAGCATCGTGGCTCTGAGACCACGGAGCCACGAGGAACTGGGCCTCCTTGGCTCTTGTCTGGTCCAAACCCATTATGTTAAGTCAAGAAATCAAAGCCCAGAGAGGGCGGCCCAGGTCACACAGCAAGTTGGTGGCAGGACAGGAAGTCCCTCACGCCCCTCACCCAGAGCGTCAAAGGCCGGCACCACGCTAACGTCCATCCAGTCGTCCAGGTCTGGGGATGCCAGTCGGAACTGGAGGGCCCCAGGCGTGTCCTGCTGGAGAAACTCAAGGCTCAAGCCAGGGACCAGGTTCTGCCGTGAGGATTCCAGCAGCACCCTCATCTCCCTGAGGATCTCTCTGCGCCGAGCACGCTGGTCCTCATAGCTCTGGAAGCAGTTGAGGAAGACGACAAGTTCGGAATCACAGCCACCCCTCAGAGCTGTGCCCCGGCCAAAGGAGCCTCCCTATGAAGAAAACAACAACAATAACAACAACAAACAAACAACTCAGTAGTCTGCACTCTCCAATTCTAGTACCCACACAGGCTGGCAGGCAAGTGGGCTGGGTGGGGACTGCGGCCACACAGCTCCCGGCATTCAGAGCCACGCAGGAATGTGGGCTAAGGGAGGCCAGTTCTGAATTTTCAAGAAAAGCAATTTTTATATATCAGTCCATAATTTCTACATGTTAGCAATGAACTATAAAAAAAATTAAAACTGTGGGTGAAACAAATTCTGGTTTGTAGAACACATCTGTGACATTTGCCTGGGGTCCGTACAAAGCAGTTATATAATTTGAACACAAATTGTCGAGACCCTTCTGACCAGTGCTTCTATTTGCAAAGCTGCCAGCCTGAGGACTCGGGAAGGAAATGCACATTATTGGAGCCTCTGCTCTGTGCCTGGCGCTCTGGCAAATGTCCGACACCCATAATGTCACTGCCAACAGGCAATGGCCCTCATGTGGTTACCTGCGGTCACAGATGGGGGGCGCTCTGAGCAGTAAAATGAGTAGCGCTGAGAGCAGTGAAGTCAGTAACACAGCCAGTAAGAGGCAAGAACCGGGATTAGCCCTCTGGGGGCATCTTCCCACCCAACGGGGATCGCTCCCTACCCGGTGGCAAGCCAGCTCATTCACTGCCAGCCCCTCACAACCGGCGCAGAGCACAGGGGAATGTTGGAGACCGAGCACTTCTTTCATGCTTTGCACACGAGCATCTCATTTAACCTTCCTCGCAAGCCTGGAGGAAGGTGCTATGATTGCTCTCGCCTTACAAACCAGGGGTCGAACGTGCGTGCAGGGAGGTCGCCACTTTCTCACGACCTCCGAGCCAGGAGGGACAGCGCCGTGACTTACACCCAGGGAGTCGGGCTCCAGACCCACACCCTCCACCCCCCACCCAATACATTAACTCACTTAAAAAATAGTTTTTATTGTGAAAGTGTCCAAACCTACAGAAAAGAGGAGGGGATTTTAAAGACGTCGTTTGCCACATTTGCTCATTTGTGGGAGCCTTTTTTTTTTCCTAAAGAAATTCCAGACAATGTGTCATTTCTTACGGTTGGTTTCAAGGGCATCTCTACCATGGTGATTCCCCACGGTGAGCGGCTGTGTCCCGGGGACATTTGGCAATGCCAGGAGACGTTTTTGGTGGGCACAGCTGAGAAGGGGAGCCCCTTCATGTGGGCCCTGGGGGTTCCTACGCTTCGTGCGTCTCCCCCTCCGCTTGCCCCCTTGCCCCATCCTCTCGGGACTCCCCCCCTTTCCCGCTTTCAGTTTCGTTTCTTGCAGCCGCTCCGGCCTCTGCCCCCGCTTCCGGTTCCCTTTGCAGTCGCGGTTTCTCCTCCGGGGCTTAGCCCCTCCCGCAGCTCCGGGGCTACCTTGCCTGGGGCTCCGCGGCTCCGAGGCACCGAACACAACGGAACCACATGCCTTTACGGCAGCAGGACCCCCGAGCACCCCTTCTTTGCTTTCTGGTCTAACCACGAGTCCCAGGCCCACTTCGTGCGTCTCACTCCAGCCGGGAATCAGCCATTCCTCAAGGGCTGGAAATGAAACCCACGGCCCCGCCCACTTCATCAGGGACTCCTTCAAAGCCTCTGTGATCCCCGGACCATAAGCTAAACTCAGCCTTGAAAGCCCTTCCAGGTTTTCCAGGAAGCTCAGGATGCCAGACCTTTAGAGATGCTTACACCCCGGTTATGCAGAAGTCCTCCAGCCTGTTTTAGAGGCGAAATCTGTCCCAGCGCTGCGGTCTGGGCTGCCGGTCTCCCCTCCTCCTTTCCTGTGTTCCAAGCTAAGATTCAGCCCCAGCAAACCACTAGCGGCTCTGCGGCCACCCCCGGCTCTGTTTTCATCTCTTCCCCCCATACACTCCAGGTCTCCCCGCTCTCTCCCACCCTGGTTTCCTGGGTCCACACGGCACCCCCGAGTTCACCCTGAAGACACAGCAGCTGACTCCTGCCTCCTCCCTGAGTCTGTGGGCATCCTGAGCTCAGTGTCAGGGTGACAAAGAGTGACCAGGCCAAAAAGGGACCCAGCCTCAGTGTCCCCACCCATTTAACAGAGACAATAATCTCTGCCTCACTACCAGCGAGCATTAAGTGACACAAGACTCATTTAAGGAGAAAGAGTTCATTGTTGTCAGGTTATTTCTCAGTAAATTGGGCTAGATTAGGGCCATTCTAGAGAATTATTATATCTGCACCGTAGGGTCTGGGGCAGCGTGAGTGAGGCCCATAGTCTGTTTGATGGGGTGAAACAGGCTGTGTGTCTGGGAATGAATGAATGCATGAATAAGAGGCGGCCCTTAGCAGCGTAGGTTCAGGAATCAGACTTCCTGGCTTTGTATCCGGAATGGACTTCTTACAGGCTTGGACACGTTACTTCCGCTCTCCGTGCCTCAGTTTCCCCACCTGCTAAGTGGCGGTAACTAGTACCTACCCCGCAGAGGTATTGTGAGCAGGAGTATGTTTTCAGGGCACTTTGAACAACCCTGGAGCACAGACAAGTGGGATCTATTAGTGACAAAGAAATGAATGAAAAGACCGATAAAGCCCCTTCCCGTCCCTTCCCCCTCCTATTTTCAAACCGAGACTGCGAGGTCGCCCCTGCTCCCGGAGAGCCCACCTTGGTGATTTTAAGTACCCGCCACGGTGGGGCAGCAGCTCCCCCGGCAGCAGGGCGGCCCCCACGCTCTCTCAGGACCGCGCCCAGGGCCCCCAGAGCGCGCCGCGCCGTCCCCACGAACTCCGCAGTCGGCTGCAGGCTGCTGGTCACCAGGCCGTCCAGCGCGGCGGCGGGGGTGCGGTACAGGTCCATGCCCGGGCGCCGGGGCGACTGGGGGCCGGGGTTCTGCGTGCGGGTGGCGAGCTCGGTGCGCTCGCCCGCCTCTGGGTTTGCGTCCCAGGGTCTCGGAGGTCCCGGGTGCCCCGCAGCGCCCCGCCCCAGTCCTGCGCCCCGCGTGGGGAGAGGGAAGGATGCGACTGGCCCAGTCTCCCCCTCCGCTTGCCCCCTTGCCCCATCCTCTCGGGACTCCCCCCCTTTCCCGCTTTCAGTTTCGTTTCTTGCAGCCGCTCCGGCCTCTGCCCCCGCTTCCGGTTCCCTTTGCAGTCGCGGTTTCTCCTCCGGGGCTTAGCCCCTCCCGCAGCTCCGGGGCTACCTTGCCTGGGGCTCCGCGGCTCCGAGGCACCGAACACAACGGAACCAAATGCCTTTACGGCAGCAGGACCCCCGAGCACAGCGCTGGCACGGAGTAACGTAACCAGGGCGTTTAAGAAACGTGCAGGATTTGTGCGAAAAACGGTGAGGAGATTCACATACACGGAGAGCCCCTACCTTGCTCTCTGGCTGAAGGATGCCTTCTAACACGGGCAATAATAAAGGACGATTGCAGAGTTTGTCCTGCACCCCTTTCCAAATATCTCCTTCAACCCTCCCAATCACCATGACATAAGCGCTGTTATGACCACACCATGGTAGGGGAGGAAGTTAAGGGCCGGAGAATCTAGGCTTCACGCCCAGGGTCGCAGAGCTGCAAAGCTGGCACACTGCAGACTCGCACTGCTCACTCTACATGGCCGCAGCCAGCTCTTCCCAGTTTATACATTGAATGCAATCCCAATCAAAACGCCGTTAAAAAATTCAAACACCATTCTAAACTGTCTTAAGAATTAAGATTTTTTTTTTAAGAGGAGAAAGGAGAGTTCAGAATAGCACCTTTCGTGCAATATCACCTTATGAACACATTATAAAGCTACAAGATTTACATCGTGTGGGGACTGGCACAGAAGGAGGCAGCTGTAAGCTGCAGAGTGGACCCTTGAGGCCCCAAGGCAGCCCGTTGCTGTCGCTATGTTCACCACCTGGACTCCTTTTTCCGTGGCTTCCCTGTTCCTCCTCCACCCGGCGTGTGCACACTGGAGCTCGTCCTCGGGACTGGCCCGAACCAGAGTCCCCATCCCACTCAGAAACTCATTGGTCCTCTGCCCCTTCACTCAAGGAGCCAGCACACCCTCTGCCTCCGAGTAAACCTCGGGTCCCAAGTCATCTCGACAGGAGCTTCCTGAAGCCTGCCTTCCCGGGAAGGAGATGAGAGATGGGGTCAGAGGGTGAACGAGTTTCAGAGGTCAGAGGCGAGCAGTGTGTACACAGTTTATATTTACACAGTAGTCAGGGCCACGTCACTGGGGGTATTCAAGTGTAGGAGGAAGACTGGATGACGGGTTAGAGGCACAGGTGTGTCTAACGTGTCGGCAGCGCAACAGGTTGGGAACTGAGAGAGCGTGCCATCGAGGGACGGGGGCATCTGAGGAATGTGTAGAAAGCAGAAAGCAGAAGGGTCGAGATTGGATCCAGTCGGTGCACTGATTCCATGCACGAGCCCTCAACTCCACGCCAGAGCTCTAGAAATGACGGGAAAGAGACGGCAACGCTTAATAAAGCTGCTGGATCCCGTGAGACGCCTGAAAGAGAAATGGGATTGGACGACGGAGGACATTACAGCCCCAAAATCAGGAGGAAGAGGGTGCGCGTGCAGGGCAGGGAGGGCTCTCAGGGACTCCAGGGTCCCTGGCATGGCCCAGACCGAGGGGCGGGGCTTGCATGAGGAGGAGGAGGGGGGAGCGGGTACCTGGAGCCCCTCACTCAGGGCTTCGAAGGTGGCAGTACATTAAAATCCAGTTGAGTCCTCAGTATGAAGTTGAGCACCCGGAGTTCCCCTGCCCACCCAGGATTGCAAGCCTCACCAGACACGGTTTCTCTTCCACAGCCTTTAGGCCGTTCCAGCCTCCTCCACCCTCCGTGAACTCCACCCTCATCTCCGCAGACTAATCCTTAGCTCTTCCCAGTTTCGTTTCCCCAGCAGGAAGTTACCCAGAGAACGGCCCTGGGGAACTCAGGATTGGATGCCTTGGGTGCTTCAGCGGCTAGCACCCCTCGCACGCTGGCGCCTCTGTTTCCAAATCTCAGGAATTTGCGCTCCAGCCAGAAATTCCAAGACCCAGCACCCCAGAGCTTTCCATTACCTGGACTTGCTGGCTTTTCACCAACTATCGGAGCTTAGCTGAGAGAAATACTAATCTTTTTTTTTTTGCAAGAAAAATTGCTTTATTTTTTTGTGTGGCCACACAAGCAATACAAGTTTAAATGTAAATAAAATCAGAAAATTCAGGCAAGTACTAAGATCACTCATAACGCTATTATCAGATATACCTACTGAAAACATTGAGACCTTCCAGGAACCAACCATTACAAAACACAATTAAAGAAAACATTCTTCGTACAATAACAGAAACAAATCCCTAAGAATAACATGACAAAAAACATGAAAGACCTATTCAGGGAACAGTTATAAAACTTAGTCATAAAGTCATTAAAGAAGACTTAATGGAAATAGACTCCAACTTCACAGATTTTTAATATTATATAGATGTCATTGTTCCAAAACCAATTTACAGAACTCCAATTATACGCCTCCCTAGATTTTGGGTGAAACTTTACAAATTGATTTTAACATACAAATAGAGCCAAAGGAAGCCAGGGATTTTTATTTAAAAAAAAAAAAAGAGTGAGAGGGAACACAGTTTCCTATGAGATATTACTAATTACTTTAAGATTCTAGTAATTAAGACAAGGTAGTATTTTAATTTATTTATCCTTCAAGTCTTTAGTCCATTTAGAGTTGACCTGTGGGTGTGCTACAGGGGAAGGGTCCAATGTCGTCCTTTTGTGGGTGCATGCCCAGTTTTCCCAGCGCCGTTTGTCAGAGAGATAGCCCATCCCCCTATTGTGTGTTCCCGGCAGCCCCGCCCACGGTCAGCTGGCCGGGTGCGCAAAGTGCAGGCGGCAAAAGCAAAACCGGGCAAGAGAGACTGCGTCAAACTAACAATGAAACAATCGATACAGTGAAAAGGCGAGCTATGGGAAGGGAGGAAATATTTGCAAACCGTAACACCGAAGGGGTTAGTCTTCAAAATAATGAGGAGCAAAAGTTGATAGCAAAAACAATTAAAAACAAACAAACAAACAAACAAATAACCTCACTTAAGAAACGAGCCAGGCTCTCGAAGAGACCTTTCCCCCAAGAAGACATGCCAGTGGCCCATGGGCCGATGAAAAGATGCTCAACATCACTAATCACCGGGCAAATGCAAATGCAAACCATGAACTACCACCTCTCATGTGTTAGAATGGCTACTATATAACCTATTTTTGAAAAAACCAAAGACACAGCACTGGTGAGGGTGTGGAGGGACTGGGACCCTCGTGCACTGTTGGTGGGAGTACAAAATGGTACAGCCACAGTGGAAAACAATATGGGAATTCCTCAGAAAATTAAAAGGAGTACTATGTGGCTTTCCAGTTAAGCAACTAGTTACTAGTTCAACTAAATCTACTGATGGCTGTAATATGGTTTATAATCCCGAAACACTCAGGAGACGACACAGACGGATTATGCACCCGGTAAAATGCAATGGCGCCCTTAGATGTGCCAAAATTTTCCTCTTTGCATGGAGTGATACACCCGACAAAGCAGGTGACAAACGTGGGTAGGAGGCAGAACCCCACTTTTATAAAAACTCTACATGCGCAGGGGGACAGGCAGAGTCAGAAAAAAGGCTGGAGGGACAGGCCCCAAATTTTAACAGGTCGGAGCGAAGGACTGTGGGAGTGGCTTTTTTTTTTTTTTTAATGATTTATTTTGCTAATGTTAAAGATAAATGTCGTCCTGAAGGAAGAGGTTTATTACTCACAGGTCCCTAGAAAGAGGAGGTGCAGTCGCCACAGGGCCGGGGGTGGGGGCAACCACCAGGGTTGCTCAGGGGGCGGAGGGGGCGAGGGGAACACAGGGCCAGGAACCTTTAGCATAGCTCCCAGGGAAAGGCAAGGCAGGGTAAGCAGGCCGGGGACTGGCTGGTTTGCGGGTGGGAGGCAACAGGTGAGCTGTGGGGCCGGTTATCCTCCTTGCGCCTGGGAGGGGGCCCTGCCAGGCATATGTTGTGGCCATGAGGGGGTCCGGGGTGCTGTCTGGAACCGTGGAGCTGAGGAGTCTCGAGAGCACAGGTTATCCAGGTATCTTGGCTGCCTTCTTAGATCTGAAAGGGTAAATACAGCACAGGGTCGCATTGGAGAGCGGGTCGTCCCGCCTTGGGCTCGGTGACATGCCACTTGGATCCTCCCTGAAGAAGCACGAGCAAGTCCCAGGAGCCGGGGAGGCTGTCAGCAAGCAGACTCTGGGTATCAGCCCCCTTTAGGGTAGCCTGGGCTGCACAGAGCCCCTTGCTTAAAAGGCCACGCCCCTTCCTGGGTGGCCCGCATTCAGGGGCTGCTCCAGGGCAGGTAGAAAGGCGTGACTCCTCAGATTGCTCTAGGACAGCTCTGAAGGCCATCGGAGCTCCAGGGCTCCCCCAGGCGCGGTGGGGTGAAGGGGTGGGCTGACACTGTCCCTGGGCTGCGTCCCAGCTGGACGCCTCCTGTTCTGCAAGTGTTGGCTCCTGTATAGCACGCTCCCTCTGGGAGCCTGCTTCCCGGGGAACCCCCTCTGACGTCCCCCAGCAGGAAAAAGACCCCAACCCTGGGGGCGGAAACATCCCAGCTCAGGAGTTTCTGCCCCTCCTAGCTTTGTGACATGCCCAGCCCATCTCGGTGGGCAGTTCTGAGTCTCCTGTTTGCCAGGCACTAAGTAGGGGGACGCAAGGCAGGCAGATTACACAATGGAATGAGCGCTGGCGGTGGAGTCCTAGGGTTCGAACCCCAGCTCTACCACTCGCTCGCTGAGTGCCTTTGAGTAGGCGGCTTCACCTCTCTGAACCTCCTTTTCGCATCTCTGGGATGAGAGTAGAAAACCTGCCTCGTCAGGTGTTGTGAGGACTGAATTAAACAACGTGTGCAAATGGGCTTAGGACGGTATCTGAGCCCAAAGCAAATATGAATGCGCAGCGGTTGCCGTGTTTACTGTTATTATTAGAAGGAGCCAACTGGAGTTGTTAAAGTGGCCTTCGGCCAAGACAGCATGGATTAAAGAATGAACTCGGA